CCCGAAATACTGAAAATTCCGTGAATGTTGTGACAACAAAAAAACCAAAACTGAAATAAAAAATGACATTGTTTTTTGTTTTTTGTGGAACAGCGAGTAGCCTCTTGGCACTGGATTCATTTCACCAATAAAACGAACAAAATGGTCGAGACCAATCTTCGTCCTTGACCCCTCCAGATGCCCCCATAATCCCCAATTTCATTTCTTCATGTTTCATTCCCCCAACAGTTTCAGCTGAATATCAAACATGCCCCACAATTACCCCGAAATACTGAAAATTCCGGGAATGTTGTCACAACAAAAAAACCAAAACTGAAATAAAAAATGACATTGTTTTTTGTTTTTTGTGGAACAGCGAGTAGCCTCTTGGCACTGGATTCATTTCACCAATAAAACGAACAAAATGGTCGAGACCAATCTTCGTCCTTGACCCCTCCAGATGCCCCCATAATCCCCAATTTCATTTCTTCATGTTTCATTCCCCCAACAGTTTCAGCTGAATATCAAACATGCCCCACAATTACCCCGAAATACTGAAAATTCCGGGAATGTTGTCACAACAAAAAAACCAAAACTGAAATAAAAAATGACATTGTTTTTTGTTTTTTGTGGAACAGCGAGTAGCCTCTTGGCACTGGATTCACTTCACCAATAAAACAAACAAAATGGTCGAGACCAATCTTCGTCCTTGACCCCTCCAGGTGCCCCCATAATCCCCAATTTCATTTCCTCATGTTTCATTCCCCCAACAGTTTCAGCTGAATATCAAACATGCCCCACAATTACCCCGAAATACTGAAAATTCCGGGAATGTTGTCGCAACAAAAAAACTAAAACTGAAATAAAAAATAATGACATTGTTTTTTGTTTTTTGTGGAACAGCGAGGAGCCTCTTGGCACTCGATTCGCTTCCCCAATAAAACAAACAAAATGGTCGAGACCAATCTTCGTCCTTGACCCCTTCAGGTGCCCCCATAATCCCCAATTTCATTTCATGTTTCATTCCCCCAACAGTTTCAGCTGAATATCAAACATGCCCCACAATTACCCCGAAATACTGAAAATTCCGGGAATGTTGTCGCAACAAAAAAACTAAAACTGAAATAAAAAACCNTTTTCTACTTTTTGCAATCTCGTATATCGCCCTCTCTCTCTGGAGATGTTGAGTCGTTTTTTCCCCCCTCGGTATTATACACCTGCACCTATTCGGGAGTCGGAGATGGCAGGGGGTTGCACTGCCTCTGGGCAACAGCAATTCCTCTATCGCTCCAACGTCAACGTACATGCAGAGACACACGCGTGAGGGGTTTTTTCTTCGGCCGAAAAAATAATAACGACCGGCGGGTTCTTTCGCATATCTGAATATCAATCTGCGATTGAAAATAAGGAGGGGGGATTGGGGGGCTAGGGGATATTTCGTAAAGTTGATTGTTGTTTCGAAAAAATCGGGGGAAATTTTTTTTANTCTTGGCACTCGATTCGCTTCCCCAATAAAACAAACAAAATGGTCGAGACGAATCTTCGTCCTTGACCCCTTCAGGTGCCCCCATAATCCCCAATTTCATTTCCTCATGTTTCTTTCCCCCAACAGTTTCAGCTGAATATCAAACATGCCCCACAATTACCCCGAAATACTGAAAATTCCGTGAATGTTGTCACAACAAAAAAACCAAAACTGAAATAAAAAACCATGACATTGTTTTTTGTTTTTTGTGGAACAGCGAGGAGCCTCTTGGCACTCGATTCGCTTCCCCAATAAAACAAACAAAATGGTCGAGACGAATCTTCGTCCTTGACCCCTCCAGGTGCCCCCATAATCCCCAATTTCATTTCCTCATGTTTCTNTAATTCAGTAGCGAAGTGCCAAAAAAATAATAACGACCGGCGGGTTCTTTCGCATATCTGAATATCAATCTGCGATTGAAAATAGGGAGGGGGGATTGGGGGGCTAGGGGATATTTCGTAAAGTTGGTTGTTGTTTCGAAAAAATCGGGGGAAAATTTTTTTTAATTCAGTAGCGAAGTGCCAAAAAAATAATAACGACCGGCGGGTTCTTTCGCATATCTGAATATCAATCTGCGATTGAAAATANCAGGTGCCCCCATAATCCCCAATTTCATTTCCTCATGTTTCATTCCCCCAACAGTTTCAGCTGAATATCAAACATGCCCCACAATTACCCCGAAATACTGAAAATTCCGTGAATGTTGTGACAACAAAAAAACCAAAACTGAAATAAAAAATGACATTGTTTTTTGTTTTTTGTGGAACAGCGAGGAGCCTCTTGGCACTGGATTCANTGAATATCAATCTGCGATTGAAAATAGGGAGGGGGGATTGGGGGGCTAGGGGATATTTCGTAAAGTTGGTTGTTGTTTCGAAAAAATCGGGGGAAAATTTTTTTTAATTCAGTAGCGAAGTGCCAAAAAAATAATAACGACCGGCGGGTTCTTTCGCATATCTGAATATCAATCTGCGATTGAAAATAGGGAGGGGGGATTGGGGGGCTAGGGGATATTTCGTAAAGTTGGTTGTTGTTTCGAAAAAATCGGGGGAAATTTTTTTTTAATTCAGTAGCGAAGCGGTAAAACGGTACAAGTAAATTTTGACTATTGACCAGTTTTCAATGAATATCTCGGAATCTGAGGGAGATGGAAAAATTTTTGTCATAACCTTTTTTGTAGAACCGACTGAGTGCTATAATAAATGTGATTACGAAAATTGCGCTATCTCCCTTAGATTCGGAGATATTGCTCACAAACTCAAGTGAGAGATGAGTCGATTTAAACCGCTTTAGCAATTCGCTACTGAATTGCTTTTATTATGGACAACGGTGTTTACGTTTAACGGAGGGCAGTGGACATCTGCGATGTAGTCCCCTCGGTGGAATGTCCGCACGGAGCTTTCGGTTTTTTCATTCTTATTAAGGGGTAACAGAGTGCGGCTAGTTTTTCGAATTTTTGAACAAATTTCCTGCCCAAAGCTATCGATATTTTTACAAATCGAAGTACTTTAATCTCCAGGAGGTGATGGTGAAGATCAATGTGCTATGGTTGAAAATTTCGAGGAAATGTTGGCCTTCCGTTGCCCCTTAAAGTAGCTCTACCCTTCGGCCGGGCTACGCTGTACTTTTGAGTATTTTCAGTTTGTTAAATTTTTCAACTAAATTGCACGGAAAAAAATCGAAAAAATTCATACCCAGTCAGTATTATCTAAATTAAATTTCGCAAAATATTGATATTTTTTCAAACATTTCCCTCTTATAAATAAATAATAAAACTTGTTTGCAAAACGGTGGATTATTTTTTGTGTCAAAAAAATTCCTGATTTTTTCACATCTAATGACAAAAAATTCAGATTTTAATCTTTGATTACAATGGAAATGTGGATTTTCACATAAGACACTGAGCTGAATCTTGGTTTCTAAACATTTCTTCTTTGAAAAGCCAAAACGATATTTAAATTGAGAAAAAAATTAGAATTCCGAATCTAATTGAGATTTCTGCAATTTTTTTTTGCAGTTTTCAATAATCTTTGAATTTACCGTAAGGGTAGAGCTTTAAGCGGAGAAAATATCTGAATTGGGGGTTTTCACCTGTTTTGCCCTATACCATAGCAATTCCCATCTCCAACCTTATGTTTTCACCCAATCCATACCCTTAAAGGTTCATATGAGTAAGCGCCCGAGGGCGAAACCATGTAAAATAGCCGTAAGTTAACAATGTACACTCTGCTGCCTTGTTGTATCATTGACGTTAATAAAAATCTTCAAAAGTTGAAAGTTAAAAAAGGAGAAAAAGTCTTGCATCAAACAACTCTTAATTTCAATCGATCAGTCACTGAGGGAAACTGAGTTTCGGGATTAGTTCGAAATTAGTTGGACCTCATTACTATTAAATAGACAAATGTGCCGCTGTCATAGTCACAGGATAGAACACCCCCTGTCGCATGATTAAAGTCAACGTAAATCAGTAGCGAAGCGGTAAAACGGTTCAAGTCGATTTTGACTGCTGGTCAGTTTTCAATGAATATCTCGGGATCGAAGGCAAATAGAAAAATTTTCCTCATAACCTTTTTTGTACATCTTAATTCGCTCTACGAAAAAGATTCTTACGAAAATTTCTCTATCTCTCGTAGATTCGGAGATATTCCTCGAAAACTCAGCTAAGAGCTAAGTAAAGTACTTAAATCGTTTTACCGCCTCGTTCTTTCGGAATATAGAGGGGAAATCGGGTACTTGCATGAAGCTCAATTATTCCTGATTCCACATGCACACATTCTTCATAACATATGCACAGCTAAACGGCGAGAATTATTTAAATTTTAATTAAATATTGCCTAGATGTCTCATGATAATTAATTGAAAATCAGTCGCGTTCGAGGCCAATCTTTCGGTCATGACGTCAGGAAGACAGTCAGGTGACGCTTCATTGGTCGAAAAAGAAGAGAGAGGGGAGTTCTCGCCCTCTATTGGCCGAGGCCCACCTCAAGATTGGGTTAGGTCGGTCGAGCCATTTTGTGATTGGTCCAGCACTCGACCGTCTGTGTGACGTCACTAGCGAGTCCAAAGAGTTCGAAATCCTCAACTTTTCACAATGAATTATCAATTCATCAGCAATAGCGAGTGTTCGTCAATGAAAAACGAATTCAATAGCGAAGTGGTGAAACGGTTCAAGTTTTTCGTTGAGTTTTCCCCAAATATTCCCGAATTTAAGGGAGATAGCGAAATGTTCATAATAACCTTTTTTGTAGAGCAAATTGAGTGCTACGAAAAAGGTTATGAGAAAAATGTTGCTATCTCCCTCAGATTTCGAGATATTCATTGAAAACTGGCGAATAGCCAAAATCGACTCAAACCGTTTGACCACTTCGCTGCTGAATTATTCAGGTCCCAAACTTGAGATTAAAAAATTAAAAATACCTCATGCAAGTTTCCTATTGAGGGACTATTGGACATTTCTGAAGATTGGTTATTTCGAAAAAATCGTGGGCAATTTTTTCTCTAAGTAGTTTTTATTATGTACAACAGTGTTTACGTTTAACGCAGAGCATCCGCAATATATTCCCCTCAGTGGAATGTCCGCACAGAGCTTTCGTATTTTCCATATTATTAAACGGAGAAAAATCCCTTGCATCAAACAACTCGTTACTGTAATCGATTAGTCAATGAGGGAAACTGAATTTCGGAATTAGTTCGAAATATGTTAAACCTCATTACTATTAAATAGACAAACGTGCCGCTGTCATAATCACGAGATAGAACAACCTCTTTGGCATGATTAATGTAAAAAAAAGAAGGAAGATTTGTGGGCAGTATACAACAAATTCAATAATTAATGAAAATAAGCACGCACACTGATAAACAAAACAAAAAAAAGTAAAATGCAGGTCTCTGGAATTAATCTAATGGTTAAAACACCAGTACGAATGAGTTTCATTAATGTTGACTCGTTAAATCGAAATATATTACTATATCTTAATCACTCAATTGACACTGAGTCAATATTTTCACTCGCTTTCACACACATAAAATCTCACAATGATTTCTGGTCCAATTTTCACATCATTTTGTTCATAAATCACCCCTCACACGAACAATAAGTATTCTATAGTTATTGCATTTATATTTTATTTGTATTCACCTCTCTATCAACGTATGATAAACCCCAATGGTAACTATGTCGTTCTCATCATGATTATCAATAATGAAAGATGATATATTTAAATTACATTGACTGATTTCTTACGAAATACATAAATTTTCATGTAATTATCACATTAGTATCATTAGTTTAACTGAAATTTGAACAATCAATCGACTGATTAAATCCACATGATCGAAATATACATCTGTACAGACTATCTATATCCCACACTTTTTTTTTCCCACATAAATTATCCAAAATAAATCAATACTTCGATCGTCAAATGCAACAAATAAATATCTTACGTCGAAAATGATTGTTTACGTAGACTCTATTATTATTCAAAAATATGAAACACTTTTATTCATAATATTTCGTACTGTATCGACAATTTTCTGGTATATCTATCTGTACTTTAAGCTGAGATAAATGTAAAAAATTGGGAAATTATGAATTTTCAATTATCAGGAATGTTTTATTCTCTAGATAAATCGAACACTATGAGCTCGTCGATAAATATTGAATCCATCAGTAAATATTAAGCCAGAAAATCATTCAACAACGAGACAAAGAATAATTCATAACGATAAATTATTCCCCTCCTATCGTCGAGTTAATTCTTCATGGCAAACATCTTTGTCTTCAGTGATAAGAAAAAAAGAAAACATAACACTAAATGAATCAACAAGAGTAATCACTTGGAGCAAAATTTACATATCAGTATGACGTGAGTCTTGGAATAAAAAGAGAAGAGAGTGAACAAAGACTGGCTCTTGTGAGGAGAATGTTCCATGAAGAAAATTTCGGTGATTATAAAACCATTACTCTACCGCTCACATCTCCAGGTGTTTTTGTTAAGCTTACGTAGATGTGTCCTCAGGGTTGCCAGCCTCCTGGTCAAGCCTCGATGAGCCACATGCCCGGCATTTGCAGCACACGATGCAGGGAGCAGCTAGCAGGAGGAGGGGCGAAGCTACTAGGAGAAGAAGGCCAAAACCAGCGAAAATTCCGATTACTTGGGTTCGATGCCAGATTACGGACGCCCTGGAGTGCCCCAGCTTGTTCTTGCAGGGGCCCTTGTCGTAGTGTCGTAATAGAAAGTCGTCCTGGAATTTGCGAAGACGTTTAGTCAGGATTAAATCGTGAATATGGTGGTTTTGTTTTCAGTGAGGATAGAGTACGCTATAGATTCCACCATTTTCCATCATCGATTTGTTGATTATGTTGCGGGAGAAAAATTGGAAAAAAATTATGAATATTCGGCGTTATTCAGATTATATTTTTTATGGAATTATTAGTTTTTAAACATTATGGTTGTGAATAAATGACTGAAATTGTTTAACTTGCGGAAACCTTGTTTTTTAGGCATGACATCGATTTCTGGTTAAAGTGTAAATATTAATACATTTTTCATCATTTGGAACAAATGATTTTTTTGGTGGAAAATTGATTTTTTATCAATTATACATAAAAATTGCAATGTTTTAAATTTGTTCTAACATGGTCAGAGTTATTCAAATTACATTTTGTACAGAATTTGATTTTTTTCAACATTTGTTGTTTATCATAAATAATTGAAATTGTTTAAACTGTTGGAAACAATTTTTTTAGACATGAAATCGATTTCTAGTAAAATTCTGAATATGAATATATTTTTTGAGATTTTGAATAAAACATTTTTATGGTAGAAAATTGATTTTTTATAAATTAGACAGAAAATGTTCGTAATTAAAAAAAAATTCAATTTTTAAATTATTTCATTAATCTTTTTCCAAAAGTAAACTTTCTAATTTTTTTTTCAGATTTTAAAAATGTTTTCTAACATGTTTAACGTCATTCAAATTATATTTTGCACAAAATTATCATTTTTTTAAACATTTGTGTAATAATTCATTGATTTATGAATAATTGATTATTAATAAATAAATAATTAAAATTGTTTAAACTTTCGGAAACCTTATTTTTAATGGATGAAATCAATTTTTTGTAAAATTGTGATTAAAAATCGATTTTTTATAAATTATTTATAGAAAATGCTCGTAGTTTTACAAAATTTCAATTTTCAAATTATTTCATCAATCTTTCTCCCAAAGTAAACCACATTTTTTTCATATTTTAAAAATATTTTCTAACAGTTGAATATCGAGATTCAATAATAAAATCATTGTAAAATGTCCAGAAACTTGATGTTCGACTACAAAACTAGAAAAGCATTTCACCGGGGGAAAAATAGTCAAACTACTTGGCTATCCTTGAATGAATCATCTCGAGTAAAATAAGATGCAGAAGTTGACTCACATCTAAAGAAGCTAGGCAGTACCAACAAAAAACGTGTTTACATCGTTTGCACATCATCTGCGCACACCCCTCGTCCTTCTCGATAGGCACAGAACACATGGGGCAACACTTGATGTGGTCATTGTCGAAGGGAATGCCCAGGGGTAGATTGGTGCAGATTCCGTTGTGCCATGGCTCTCGGCAGACAGAACAGAAGTCGGTTGAGCAGTTCGGACAGTGGACTGGGCCCGGTGATGCACCACTTCCATTACTGTTCACCGAGCATATTGTCTCACAGCCAGCACGTGGACACCACGCGCGCTCCTTGTCCATGGAAACATCTGGAAGGAGGAATCGCCACAAATATTATTTTCAATAATATTTGCACCGCAAATGCACATTTTTCGCTCAATCACTGATAACGTGTTAATGGTTTTCATTATATTATGAATGAGTATCGAGTAATTTACATTTTTTATTTACCGTAGTGATGAGTAATAATTAATAATAAAAAACTGTTATGTATCTCATCAGGAATTGCACTTGAATATTTTAGAGTAGTCATGTAATCAATAATGAAAACTGAAATATTGTCATTATTTTGGTGAAATTTTTCAGCGTTTTTTTTTGAATAGAAATATTCAATAGAAAAATATATATAGCAAGATGAAATCCGAGAGATTTTTTTGTGAGAAATATTTTCTGTTGGATTTTTTCTGCAAAGAATGTGCAGTGCTGCGTAATTTTTTAATAGAATCAGCGAAAAACTAATAGAGTTTTCAATAGAAGTTCAATAGAAATCCAACTGAATTTTCTAACCAGTTTGCCAAGTTACTTATGAAATTTGATCGTATGTGTTCTACTATAAATACCGGTTCCTTCAGAATTTTCTAGCTCATGGAGGGGCCCAATCAGAGATCGGCACAATCGATGCGTAATAATTAACAGTGAAAAAACTATTATTTATCTCATCAGGAATTACACTTGAATATTTTAGAGTTGTCCTTCAATCAGTAACCAAATCCAAAATATTTTCTGATACTCATGAGGTCAGTAATGAAATATTAATTTGGTCTCATTTTTCACGAAGAAAATCATTGGAATTTTTATTTTCTATTAGCCATTACTATAATAATGGAAAATCAATTTGGTTTCAGTATAAATGACGAAAGAAATTGGAATTTCTCATTAGTATCGACAATGAAAAATAGACTTAGTATTATTATTCATTCCGAAAACAATCGTAATTCGTTTTTTTTCATTAACCATTGGTACGGTAATGAAATATTAATAATGGAGATAATTTTCCTGCCGATCTCTGTCTGGAAAATTAAAAAAAATCGTCATCTCGGGATTGCCTGAGTGAAATTCAATGATTTATTTTTTCATTTTGAAGGTATTGTCTTGGGGGTTGGAATGAAATTTAACTCGTTGAAATCGCGTAGTCGAGTCGAGAGATATCGACGATTTAGCGAGTGGTTTTTACCTCTGTTAAGACGAAATTTACGATGTTTCTCCATGAGTTCTGGGGTCACGAGGGTCGACATCTCGGTGAGGGTGAGCACAGACGCCCAGTCGCATTGCGCGTCTGGGCAACTGATCTCGTAGGCACCTGCCTCGATTTCATATTCAATGTAGCCCTTCATACACTGGAATAAAATGAACAATCCATGAAAATAGGGATATGATTAAAAGACAATTCAGTAGTTTTCGATGAATATCTCGGAATCTACATTTCCTTCTATCATTATAATTTATTGTTTATTTCATTTTATTAAATTGAATAAGATTCCTTTTCAATTAATTTTGTCAGGTTTTCAACTTAGTTGAATGCTATCATCATCATTATTTTTATTATCCCTTTCTTCTATGCAACCGATTGTCTTTTCTACAGTTCTATCTCTCCCCTCAGCCCTTCGATAAAATGTTAATAGAAAAATTTTATTTACACATACTTGAATGAATTTGAAACATCACATTTGAAGAAACCATCAGAAAGCTCACGTTCAGGGTAATTCATGAAAAATTCGAAATTTTCAGCAATCATCATAAAAATCAAATCAACCAATATGGCTATCGTAATCATCTTTTAACTTCGACTTAATGGCATTAAAACAAATATTTTAAGCTACGATTGAATTCATATGAAGCATGATATTCAAAGATATCCTCGGAATTCTGATTTTCAAAAAATACAAAATTTTTGCAAATTTTCAAATAAATCAAAATAACGGTTATTGCTGTCGCCTTCATCTTCGAACTCGGTCAAAAGGACAAACAAACAAATTTTTTAAGCCATCATTTAATCAATTCAGAACATTTTTTTTAGTTATCGTGGGACAACCGATTTTCGAAAAAATTCGAAAATTAAAAAAACATCGATATGTCAATTAAATTGCGCGCAAAAAATTTGAAAAAAATCATGAATATTCAGCATCATTCAAATTACATTTTTCATAGAATAAATAATTAAAGTTGTTTAAACTCTTGAAAACCTAAATTTTTTAGGCATGGCATCGATTTCTCGTAAAATTCTGGATATGAATCAATTTGTTACGATTCAAAACAACTGATTTCTATGACGGAAAATCCATTTTTGTAAATTATTCACAGAAAATACTCGCAATTTGGAAAAATTTCAATTTTTTAATTATTTGACCAATCAAATAATTAATTGATAGTAAACATTCTAATTTGTTTCAGATTTTTAAAATGTTTTCTAACGCTTCAATGTCGCGGTTCAAATTCACTCGACACTACTTTTTTAAAATTATCCGTAACTCAGAAACAAGTTTATCAATTGAGCTCAGTTTAGGCTCGTCACAAAGGGAAAGAAATGTTCTTTGCATTGAAAAAAAATTTATTGAATTTCATCCACATTTCAACACATGAACATTTTAAAAAAAGTCAAAAGTGCCCGTTTTACCCCAACCTCCCCTACCTGTGCGCAGGAAATTTGAAAATTTCGGGGAAACGGTGGCCTTCTGTTACCCCTTAAAGTAGCTCTACCCTTCGGCCGGGCTACGCTGTACTTTTGAATATTTTCAGTTTTAAAATTCTTCGACTAAATCGCATGAAAAAAATTTGAAAAAATTCATTCCCAGTCAGTATTATGAAAATTAAATTTCGCAAAATATTGATATTTTTTCAAACATTTCCCTCTTATAAATAAATAATAAAACTTGTTTGCAAAACGGCGGATTATTTTTTATGAGATGTCAAAAACACATCTAACAAAAAAAAAATCAAATTTTAATCTTCGATTACAATGGAAATGTTGATTTTCACATAAGACACTGGATTAAATCCTGATTTTTAAACATTTCTTCTTTGACAAACCGAAACGATAGGGGAGGCTGGGGTAAAATTGCCACTTTTTACTTTTTTTCAAATGCTAATAACTCATTGAATTGCTGATGAAATGGAGTAATTTTTTTCAATAAAAAGTACAATTCTTCCCCCCTATGATGAGCCTAGACTGATCTAAATTGATGAATATATTTACGAGTCATGAATATTTAAGAAAAAGCCAATTGTCCATTTACCCCACCCTCCCCTAATGAGCTTGAGAAAAAAATTGGAATTCCGAATGCAATCGAGTTGTCAGCAATTTCTCGCAGTTTTCAATAATCTTTGAATTTACCGTAAGGGTAGAGCTCCTGTAACCCCCCTCCATTCTCCCCTGGCCCCTCCACTTACGTCTTTGCAGTAATAGCAGCCGCAGCCATCGATCCTGAATATCTTGGACAGCGACACATCGATGAGGCATATTTTGCACAAAAATTGATTGACAGCCCCCTGCGAGGGTGCAGCGGGTACAAAGCTCCCCGCGGCGAGGCTGTACCGGGAGCTCGAAGCCAGCGACAGGAGACTCGAGCACCTCGAGCACACCCTGCTCCGATTAATCGGCCTGTTATTATCGAGTGCAAGTGCACTGAGTCCCACCGACGTCTCGCACTTCCTCAAATTGCCCTTCGGCCCGACATTCATCCAACTGCCCCCACGTGCCTCGAGACTAGCACTGCTCTCAGGCCTGAGCAGAGGTGCCTCAGCACCCCTGTTGCCCCCAGAGTTTCCCTCCCTCAACGACAAATTATTAGCACTCGTCTCCTTCCTCACAAGTGGCATCTTTATGCCGCTCAGCTTGTTGGCGAGATCGCCCTTCTGAGAGGCTGGATTGACCGATGTTACTGAACTCGTTGCTGTACCCATATCCATCAGTGGATTAGCTCGTCGTACGACGAGCGAGTGTAGGCTAGGCATCCCCTGTATTCGCGTTATTATTTTTTCAACACTTCATCAATGTTCATTTCACACTCGGCAAGGGGATCGCGGAAGTGTCAGTGCGGACACATCCCGAATGTCACTCACTGGACAATACTCTCGTGTCACTGGGCTAAACTCGATAATTTCAGGGGGAAAAACAAACACTCGTGACTTGCGCCAACCACAACACTCGACATCTCGGATTTTCAAACAGTTTTTTGTCAACACAAGTCACAATCTTCGGGCTCAACTTTGGTGCGAAAATACGGGTATTTTTAGCCGACGTTTTTCACGACGAACAAAGGAATTCTCGAGATTCTTCGGGGCTCCGGGGACTTCGCGATTGTTTCAAGTCACTATGTGCGAATAATTTGACCCTCCGGTTGGGTAAGTGTCGTGGAAATTTATTTCCACGATTATGGAATCATCGAATTCGTCAATCTCCATCACCAAAAGTTCTTGACATAGTTGGCAACGCGCACACATAACTGCGGCGATTTTTTTCAGTCTGGTGGATTATTTTTTTTATCCAGTTGTTATCGCTCTGTTTTGCTTTTTTATCCGAGTTGGATAAAGTCACTTGTACTTTCACTGTCAAGCCTTTGGGGCACAGATGTTGATTTAGGGTGGGCTCGAAACGTCATTGTGATGGTTTATACACTGGGGATTAAATAATGCAGAAATGTTGGTATTTGCGACTTGGAAGAAACTCGGTGGGAAAAAAGAGGGGAAAAAATGGTGAAAAAATAAAAATAAAGATGATGTACCACGCACTTGAGTTATTGTGTTATTGTTGATATTTTTTTTCACTCGAATCGGAGTTTTTCTCGGGATTATCGAGTCTTGGTGGGGCTTGGGGGGACTTTTTCACTCGGGTGGCTATTGTTTTTGTTTAGATTCGACATTATGCCCGTCTGACTCATTTTGTTCGCGCAAGAATGGGTTGGCGATGGTGAAAACTCGAGGGGGAGGGAGAGGTGGCAAGCCATGCGCTGATTTGCGGCCTTTGCGGAGAAAATCTCTGAAGACGAGTATTCAAGTTTCTGGGAATGGCACGGAGATGGTGGGTCCCAGCCAATGGGAGGGGCGAGTCGAGCTGGGAAAGACCATTGTGAATCCCCTGAAACGGTGTAGTGACGCGGGAAATTCAAATTGAGCGGGCGAGGAAACGGCTGGAAGTTGAATTGCAGTTTTTGGATTTGCAAACGAGATTGCAGGAGTAATGTTTAGAAGAATGTGATACTTGATTAGTTCCATCCAGACATTTTTGAAAATATTGTGAAGAATGGGTGCATTTAATAGATAAATAACTGTTTATTAAAGATTTTGGGACGAAATGAATAATAAATAGAGATGTAAAAAGAAATGATATGTTTGCGGCGTAGGGAGCAAAATTAAAGAATAACTAGAAAGAAAGAGATGATCGTATACGAAGGTGGTTGAGAGGGAGGAAAAGAGCATATACGCAACAATAGCAATATTTTAGAAATTGAAGGGGTTGACGAGGGGTCCATCGAGGATCAATAAAAAGTTGAAAACACCTCAAAAAACTCGAATAATACTGAGGAAAATTTTTTGACGTGGATACGTCTATGGTTTCAATATGGGGGCTCATTTTGGGGAAAGATCCTTATGTGCAGCGCCATCTATCGGAATCCTAGAAAATTCTAGACGTTTCGAGGTAATTCGAGAAGATTCTTGAAATTTCCAAAAAAATCAAGGAGTTTCTAGAAAATTCGAGGGAATTCAGGGAATTTTTAGAAAATTCGAGAGAATTCAAGGAATTTCCAGGAAATTCGAGAGAATTGAAGGAGTTTGTAGGAAATTTGAGAAAGAAGAAAAAACCATGGACGTATCCACGTACAATTACAGCTGTATCGAAGATACAACCGCCTGCAATTTTTAAAAAATGGGAGAACTCTGGAAATTCTTTCAATTCTTTCAAACACCGGGATGAGCCGCCATGTTGGGTATTTTGATCAAATCCTAACGAATTCAGAGTTTTTCTGTCGTTTTTTAGAGATTCGAAGGTGAAAAACAAAGAAACATTTATAATTATTTTAAAGTTTTTGGACACTACCTCACTGGGCCCCCAACTGTAATACGTTGGCGACACGAGTTGATAATTTTAGAATGTGAATAGTGATTGCTAAAAAGCAATATAAGTATGATAGAAGTTCTGACATCCGCCTCTTTGACCCCGAAAATCAAATGTGGAATTTTCATGATTTGTCGACGATTCATTCTGATATTTTTTTGAAGACGTTTGTGTGTGCGGGCATATGTGGTCAACATTTTGCCCAAAGATATTTTTTGGACCCATGGAACAATTAAAAAAATTTTAAAAAATTATGAAATTAAAAAAAAATGGTTTTCCACAAAATTTTTTTTTTCTATTGATATGTCTTCATGTAACTTGAACTGATGAGTTTGTGAAAACGATTGTCTCAGCGGATCTACAGTTATTCTCATAAAATTTGTAAAAACGCTGAAAATCGAAAATTCCACTGAAATTCGACGATTTCACCTAAAATAATGAGGGAATACGAATTAATTTTGTATAATCGATGCGTCTCCACAAAACTGAATTCCAATTGGATGTTAAGCAGAATCGTCTCGGCGGTTGTTCAGTTATTTGGATGAAACCTTGAAAATTTACTTTTTCCTAATCAACAGAAAAAAGGGAATCGTTCGGGAAGTTATTGGTTCGACCCATAACGGGTCCCACCCCAACATTCTCAATAATCTTCAAATTAATGGTGACGGAGTGGTAATAAAATAAAATAAAGTAATTGTATCAAACATCTTATATTTAATAATCACTAAAAATTATAAATTATTTTTTCAGCTTATCCATCCCGTTCCCTCGAGAGGCCGTACCTTAAAAAAATATACCGACAAATAAATTACGACTTAGCAAGAATTAAGTATAAGAATGAAAAAAATATTTTTATCACATAGGTTTTGAAAAAAAATTGAAAGCTCGATATTGAGTACAAGAGAAACATTTAAAGATATTACACATTTGAACACAGGATAATCTCAAATATATTCCCTTCATCCGAACAGGCAAGTTCTTAAAATGAGGTGCTTAAATTTTTCTTCGACAGTTAATCCAATTTAAAATCCAAAAAGCCATTTGCTCAAGGCCATAACTCTTGCAGGCCGCATGATCACTCATATTGTTCAAAAAAAAAAAATATAACAAATTCATTTAAATATAAAAACAAGAATATTTTATCTCAAACAATCTGTTATTTAATTACAGGGAAATGTTGCCTGGTTGACTGTACTGTCCATATCTGGAATGTGTGTCCACAGCTCTCACAGCAAAGTAGTAGTTGTTGCCTTCCGAGAACTGTAATCATATTTCCAGGGGAAAGTTATCAGATATCATTTTGCGAGACAGCATTATTTAAACTAGCTGAAATTGAAGACATACCTGGGTTAGAGTACAGGCCATGGGAAGGGGTAGAGCCCTGACATCGCCAACTTTTTTCCAGTTTGATGTGTTTGGTGCCATTCCTGTTATCTCCTGGTATGCGTAAAGCTGGTAGCTGGCTATCTCCGCGTATTTTTCGTTCAGTGCCATGTTCCAGGACAGCACAATTCCTGAGAACAATTTTCATTATTGACAATTCTTTTTTTAAATAAAGTGATTAGTTTGCTTCCGAATGTGAGCATTGCATTCGTCAAATCTGGAATTTTCAATTTTTTGTGTCAAGATAACTCATTTTGGCCTCAGGAGTATGTGTGTGTGTATGGAAAAAAATAATTAAGTCGTTGTGTAAGCAATATTTTGTAATAAATTGATTTTTTGGAGATTTAAATAAATGCACCTGAAGAGGAATGCCTAGGGCATTCGAAACGTTTTCTTGTCTTCGTACATTAATAATTTGTGGAGCAAATTAATACCGAGAATAATAGTCGGAACTAGTCGTTCACTCGCTTCGCTCGCCAACCCCCACCATCCTTATTCTGACCCTTAATCTGACCCTCGTGATCCTCATTCTGACCTCATTCTACCCCTCGTGACCCTTAAACAGACACATATGACCCTTGACACGACCCTTATTCTAACCCTTGTGACCCTTATTCTGACCCTCGCGAACCTTTCCTCTGAACCTTGTGGGCCTTGTTAACCCTTATTCTGACCATCATGACTCTTATTTTGAACCTCGTGGCCCTTATTGACCCTTATTCTGACTCCAGTAACCCTTATTCTGAACCTCGTGACCCTTACGACCCTTATTCTGAACCTCGTGACCCTTATTGACCCTTATTCTGAACCTCATGACCCTTATTCTGACCCCAGTAACCCTTTTCTGAACCTCGTGAACCTTATTCTGAACCTCGTGAACCTTATTCTGAACCTCGTGACCCTTATTAACCCTTACGACCCTTATTCTGAACCTCGTGACCCTCATCGACCCTTATTCTGACCTTCGTGACCCTGATTTCGACCCTTAAGACCCCTAATTGTGAAGTCTTTATTTTGAGTACCAAATTTTTATCACCAGTCGGAGCAATAATTTTATGTGAACAAATAATTCTTCAAATTATTCCAATTGTGATTTACAATATTCTTCCCAACGCCATCTTGATTGAGTTCGCTTTTAAATTCAATTTAAAATACATCATCACAGAAATTCCACTCCGAAGCAAATTGCTAATTTATTAACAAAAAAATATTGACTGGATTGGGACGAAAGCAATTCTCCACTTGTTCTTAAAATTAAGTGATTAGAGTTTCACTTTCGAATGGAAGCATTGTATTCGTCAAATTCGTGAGATTGATTGCAACATCTGTTGTTGAAAAAAATTATTTTGAAACCAATAGCCAGGGGATGTTGACTGCAATGAATCATTGAATTCAATTTTAACTACATCGTCATAAAAATTCCATGCGGAAGCAAATTGCTAATTTAGTAGCAAAAAAATATTGACGATGTTGTGACGAAAGCAATTTTCCACTTGTTTACAGGTCTTGGGGCTCTCACCATGTTGGACTTTGGATATCTTCAGGGATGGAGCTGGCGGTGGTAGTTTCATCGAAGGATCATGCTTGTAAGTTATGCAGTCTGGAAGAGGTGCAGGATGCTGAAAAACAAAGCAACAATATTCACTAACAATTCCACATTTTCGATGAGAAAAGACATGGAACGAGGAAGAAACTTACAGATACCTTATAAAGTTGCACGGTTGTGCCTGATGTTGGCACGACCCTCACTGTGCCATTGGCCATGGTTGGAACAGCTGTAAGAAGCCGAATTGAAATTTCATAAATATTCAATTCAATTAAATTCTTTACTTCCTTGATGTTGCAAAAGTTTTTCTTTGTTTTACATCTACACATGCCAAATCTCATAAATATATCCAACCTATTTTTCTTGTTTTGAATATTTGAAAGTTTGTGGTGCAATTTCACTGGAATTTTTCAGATACTAAAACCATTTTCCAGTTTTGCAACCAAAACCCTCAATTCTTGTAATTTTTATTCGAATCAGCACACGTATTCATGCTTATGTCTTTATTTGAGGCTACAGATCATATCAACTAGGTGTTTCAATACTTGAAGACTTGTACTCACAAGCATAAGCGATGTTCGTCAGTGCAGGTCTGGTGGTGGTGGTCGCCCTGACCGGATTGTTATTGTTGGCAACAACGAGCTGACGCCCAGGCTGCATGACGACGAACCTGGGAATGCCTCCAATAGTGCTCATGTTATTCTGAAATCAGTGATGCAAATTACAAACAGCCCTGACGACCAACTCCTCACATTTACCACTGGAATACTAACAACTAAAGCAGTGGGAGTTGGCTGTCCAGCAGGTTGCACAACCCTGAGAGCCGACTGAGGTATAGTGACAGCAGTTGTAGCTGGAATCACCCTCTGGTACCGCCCTGGGGCCTTGGGCACATGAGTGGGACCAGCTGTTGTCGTGATGATGGCTGTCAGAGGTGGCGGTGCTGACTGCTTTTTCTCGGGCTCGTCAGTCAGATCAATGAGATTGGCATTGCCCTTGTTGTTGGGAGTGAGGACTTTAGTTCTGGTAATTGAATTGGTGACACCATTGATGACAACGTGGTGGATTGGCTGACCAGTGCTGGCTGTTGTGGTGCGTGTTTCCACGGGTTTTGTCAAGGACAGAGAGGATGGTGTGACTGTGGAGACGAGAGGTTGCGTTTGGAGGGTGTTCTGGACAGCTGCGCTCACAGGAGCCACTCCAGGGACGTCTGTTCTTCTTGGGGATCGAACTTTGATGCCCCTTCGAGCGTTGGGATCCTCCACCTGGGGTGGGATCGAGCCGTTCACTGGTGGCTTGGGCAGTATCTTGGTTTGCACTCCTTTCCCAGCTGCTTGCAGCTGTCTCAAATTCTGAACTCCATGGTCCTGTGAAGAATAATTAGGTCAGGCTGTCGTCGACATGATGTGGCTGGTGCTACTTACTGTCAAGAAGTTAACTTGAAGCCCCACAGATCGATTTATCTTGATGGGTGTTGCATTGCCAGTCGCACTGTTACGACGATCTGCACTGAAACGATTCAACACCATCTCAAAATCGTTGATCTGCTTGGACAACTGCTGACACTTCACTCGTATTGCTTCCTGATTGCGCTCAGATATCTTGGCCTTCTCGCGAAGCTTGCCGATCTCCTCGCGCATTGTTATCGTCTCGACAATTTTCTGGATGAACAGCTCCTCGAGTTGCTGGAGAAATCGTTGATTATGATATCTTTGCTTTCTGAAAGGAGATGGGAAAAGGGTTTTCACTCACCTCTTGTGTCAGCTTCTTCAACTTCTCTTTGTTGTCTCGTAGGAAGAATCTACGAACACTGTCGAAGGTCTTCTTTGACTCGGTTTTAATGGGTTCTGGCTTGGTTTGAGCATTTTCCTTTTCGATATCAGTCTTTAGTTTCTTGGCAGTCGCAAGGTCCAATCGCTCGTCACTCTCCATATTGCGTTTCAGGGAGGATGGCGATTGGACTTTTTGCTTTGGAGTGTAAGGTACCATAGAGTCTTGTGAGTCTGAATCAGTGTCATTGTTCAATGTCACAATATTCTTTCTCACTGTGACTTCGGCTTTCTGGGCGGCCTCACGCTTTGCTCTCGTCACAATCTCTTTTCCTGTAATTATTTTCCTCATGAATTCAGTGATTCAGGTGGGACTGAGCACTTACAAGCAGATCGAATGAACAAACCCATTGAGCAAATTAAAATAACCATGAGCAATGAAATAAAAAGAATATTCCGTGTCCAGACTGCAGCCAAAACCAATCATAACCAAAGTAGAAACTGATGAAAACAAAAAACCAAAATCCATAGAGCAAAATCAGAGAGAGAAATCATAATTTGAAAAACGCATTCAAAGCAAACCATTCCCAAGAGTTAATAATGATTCTGAGATGACATTCATTAATTGAATTATTTTCCTACCTGTTGCAAGCTGGGCATCACCACGCGATCTTCGAGTTCTACGCGTTCTCGAATCATCCAAAATTTCACTGTTTGTCTCTTTGACAGCACTGACCTGCTTTGGACGGTCAGTCGTGATGTCTGATGTTGGCAGACTGTCGTTCGCACTGTGGGAGACTCCGCTGCTCATTGAGTCAGCGGTATTGTCATCATCAAGATCGATGATCTCGTCATTGCTCTTAGATCTCTTGGGTTCCGCCAACAGAGACTTCAGGATTGTGTTCGCCGCGTCAGATTTCTCGGCTGGTTCGTCTGCCTCGTCTAGGATTTCTATAGCATCATCAGTGACCTCAGGCTTCTCCTGAGGCTCAACACACGCGATCTTGCTGGGAGCAGTCGTGTCATTCTCTGATGAACTCAACCTACGTTTGCTGGCGCTTGCCTGATCATTGTCTTTCGTGTCAGAAAAATCATTCTGGTCAGCAATTGCTTCGCTTTCTGCATCTGATATTGTCTCTCCACACTCTAAAGACGGAGAGGGATTTGCCCCCTCAATGGCTTTGTCCGTTGCCGATGCAGAATGATCGCTTTTGATGGATTCGTCTTTGGAATTTTCATCGACAACTACTACCGGATCAGTAGAAGTCTCTACTAGGTCTTCCGACTTCTCCATCAAGGGTTCTTCGTCAGTACTCAGTGAAGGACAATCTTTCTCATCGGTTCCTGATTTCGAGACGTCTTTCGGTTGCTCATCGCTTTCCTTTTCTGGTTCTTCATCATTTTCCAGGCCATTTTCTAAGATTGCGTGATTGCTTTCGGTATTTGGAGGTGTAGGAACGGCCTCAGAGTCAATCTTTTCGTTGTCATGTAGGCTCGCATCGGAGCTTTCGCCTTTAGAAGGATCTTCCACAGATTCAGACTCTGGCCTCTCCTCACTTGGAGATGAGGCTCGCGATGTTGGCACGACTTTCGGACTATCTCCTACGTCTTCCACATCATTCTGCCTGGTTTCATCATCATCGTGATGATCATTACTATCGGAACTGATGTCGCTCAGGTCTGCGTGTGGTTTCACGAATATAATTTTTTTCGCCTGACTGGTGGACGATTCCGGCACCTCCGGATTATTCAATTCCGAACATCTTTCGGGACTAAAATTGGCCTGATCTTCACGATAATTATCCTGCTCTACTTGAAAATTTTCAGCAAAATCCTCAGTATTATTTCCGCGCTTATCAGAATCTTTTTCGCCATTCGTTATTTTATCTAGTTGCAATGATTTACTGTTAGTTCCAAGAACCTCGGGGTTTGATTCTGCAATCAACAAGTTCACGCCTAAGACTTCCTATCCTATTCTAAATCTTATATTTACTTAATGTATCTATTTTTACTGATTTATACGCCTATGCGTGCCTTGATTATGATTAACTTTTAATGTCGGTTAGTTCCACCACTCGATCACATGAGATCTCTGCTAATGAGTGGGTGAATATGTATGCTATGAAATATATTGGTTGCAGTCTGGATCCGAAATTTCACAATACACCAGGGATCTATCCCAGTGCGGATCTGACTTGAACTTTCACAATTTTTCATAATTTTGCATTGTATTTTGCAATTAAAATACAACAATAGCTGATGAATCATCAGTCGGTAACGCCAATTGAAAAAAAAAGATCTCGAAAGGTTGCGCTCAAAATGGCGCCCACGATAGTTCACAAAATGGCATCCAGTATATTTTTTTTTCTGGCTTGAACCACTAAAACTACTGATTGTCTCAAATAAATGATGACTTACCCGTCAGTTCAGTCTTGTCTATATTGTTATCATGATTCTCTACACGCTTGGAAGCATCAACTTTCTCATCTCCATTCTCATCATCCGAAACCCTCAAACGATAGCTGTCCTCGGACAGTGCATCGTCGGAGAGTGCTTCTCCATCATCCCCTCCACCGTACAAAAGTTCATTCTCCAGTTGTTTTGATATATCATCGAGTCCATTTTCGGCGTGCGATGCCGAACACAGAGGCTTTGTTTCAGTAATGTGTATTGATTGTGCCTGCACTGATTCCATCATCGGCTCAATACATACAATTTTTAGATAATGGCCGACGTATCGTTGGAAGAAGTCTACAAGTTAATAATACCTCCTTAGTGGGGAATTTATTTATCTTAGGTATTTTATACTTAAGACGCGACTAGAGTTAACAGGCCAGGAGCTGGAGGATCCCAACATTCGTGGAATTTTCAATAAATGATAGAGTTAAATATTTATATAAATGATTGAGAGTTTTAATATGTTGGCTTTCAGGGGATTGGAGAGTTGTCCTGAAGAGGGTTTCCAATAGAGACCGAAACGTTGATGTACAAAATTCGATCTTTGTTGTGGTTTCTTTAGTACTGACGATTGCTGGGGCAAATAGTCTTCATTTTAATAGAAATAAAGCTGTTCTGGTTATTCCAGAGTGATCCCCAGAGATGTTGGAGAATAAAGAAAGATCTGTTTTATATTAGTCATGGAGATGAGAGCAATCATTGATAATAAAGATAGATTCATGAAATTGTTAATTAACGATGTTTCGTTAATTGTTTTAGATTAATTGGGGCCAGGACTTGTTTAAGTTGTTATTGTATTCTCTGGAGGAGTCTCTTTTAAATACTGACAAGATGCTTTTTTCTGTTGTTTGTAGTTGTTTGGATGTCTTTATATCTTCATACATAACTGATTTAACTAGTAGTGGGACTGGAAATAAATCAAGTTTGGAGTCTGATAAAGCTAAAATAATTGACAAAATGTCATGACTCTCGCGTATAATCATACATATTGATATAAATAATTACGAGTTTTAAGACGATTTCGGATTTCGGGTTTCGAATAAAGACCAAAATGTTGATATACAAAATTCGATTTTTGTTGTTATTTTTTTAGTACTGATGATCGTTAGGTCAAATAATCTTCATGTTAATATAAAATTTGTTAATATATAATTTATATTATAAATAAAAGTATTGATTGTTCCCGAGTGATTCTAAGGGATGTTAGAGAATAAGAAAACTTTCAGCTAATTGTCAGTTAAGGATGTTTCGTTAATTATTTCAACTTAATTAGGCTCAGGGCTCGATTAAAGTTGTCATTGTATTCTCTGGAGGAGTCCTTTTCAAATATCGACAAGATGCTTTATGTTGTTTGCACGTGATTGGAAGCCTTTTCCTATGTTCTAATACATATAACCGATTTAATTAGTCACGGGACTGCCAATTAATCAAGTTTTGAACCTGATGAAGCTAAAATAATTATCAAAATGTCGTTTAATGACAATTAAGTGAAATCATTGTCAAATTTATGAATTATAGAAATGAACGAAAATATTTATTGTGCTGATTATCGTAATGATCAATGATAACACTCGCGTATAATCAAGCAATGAACTTTCTTTTTTCGAAATATCAATATTAAAAATGTTAGAATAACTGTGGAGGTGAGCAGGTTACGAGTCTCCGGGTTTATGATGAGGGTGAAATGTTTATGATAGAAAAATTCGAGGATTAGTTTTAATTTCCCTGCGAGACAGATGGAGTAATTTCAGGAATTTGTGTAAATTCAGGAAAATGTTGGTTGCGAATTTTGCATATTTTGTGTGAAGGAATATTTTAGGCAGAAGCTCAATGGAGACAGTCACCTCAACTTTTTCTCACATCCAACAACTGATGCTTTTAATAACCGTCCAGTAATTGGCCTGTTTACCCTTTATAAATCAAAACCCCCATGATACACTGAGTGTATCTGGGGTTTTAGTAAACACCGCGTGTTTATGCCAACAAATTCGTTAGTTGAAAATTACCAAAAAATAACTGTTTTGCCCGAATTTGAAAGTCTCAAACATGAGCAACTGCTCTGCTTTGGATAAAAAAATATTTGACTCAAGAGGCGGATCATTCATACAAGACGCTGCCTTTTCAGGATAAAAATATCTTTCATAAAAGGAAGTTTATCCAGAAATATTTCGTCCCTAAGTTACAATATTTCTGCCATATCATTACTACTATTCCGTTTAAGAATTCATTTTTTGTCTGCGATTACTGAATACGCGCGTTTCATATAAATCGAGCATTTCCCGGGATTAAAATACCTACGGGTGCACATAATAACGAAAAAGTAACCTAGAAATTATATTTCTTGCTTGCGCAGAGAATACAATGTTTTTGAAAAGACTGAATCTATCTGTGAACAAAAGTTAAAAATCATCAAAAAAAGATTCTTTTTTGATAATTTTTAGCAAACGATTTATTTGGCACAAGTGAAAGTGCTTCTTTGAGAACTCCAAGATTTTTAACCAGTTGCCTTTACACCGAAAATTGGGAGCTTAAAAATCAGAATAACCCCTAATCCACCAATAATTTCACCAAGACCCAATTAACCAAAGATTAATTGGGCAAAAACAAGGCCCAAATGGAGGCGACCACGTGATCAAAATCAAAACTCAATTTCCTAAACCGGATTTCATTCCGAAACCTATCTACCGTTCCTCCGATGGAACTTCCGTAGTTTCCACTACATCCCTCATCATGACGAAACAATCTACGCAGCAATTCGCCTCCGAAGATTGAGGTTAGGGTAGCTCGAGGCATCTCCGAGTGATCCCCCAAGCAAACATTAAAATTCCCCGAAAATCGTATAAAATATCCAAAACCACCAAATCCCCAAAAAATCCGAAACCCACGGATTCGCGGGTGGGCACGTGTCAGTCTATCCCGTTCCGCCTCCCCCCAAAAAGTTCCTAAAAATCCCAAAAACCGCCCCGAGTGGAAAAAAATTCCCCCGATCCGCCTGAACCCGCGGCTGATCCCCCCCGAACAATGCCGCAAACAAAGCAAATTCCGATTGTTTTCAAACAAGAAAAAAAAGAATTCCCGGCCCCCCGCGAACCGCTGCACACACTCCGCCCCTGGTATGAGAGCTGAAAGTAAAAGCTGCCTCGGTAGTGCCTCGAATCGTGTTAGCGCCGTTGGGAAACAGCCCTCGATTAACCCACCAACATCATGCCTTAATTTACCAGCACCACATGCACCCACGATCCCCCCCAGACATTACCTTATCAACAATTCCATTAATTGTTTCAAGACGATATGCCCCACGGTAATGAGTAATGGCGGTCACGACCAATGTTAGTAAGGCAGTTTTATCGACGATATTTACCACGACCGACGTAGAACAGTGAACCCAGGCCCCGGGTTACGAGCGCCGGACATTGCCGAAGTATCACGAAGTCACGAACATGGCGGCACAATGTACTCTAAAAGGGATCCATTTCGATCCAACTTTGACCAAAAATCAGGCTCATTAACGGACAATTGTAAAACCCCGAACGCATTGGCCCCCGATAGCGAACGAGATTGTCGCGACGAAAAAGTCCATCATTTCCGTCTCATGTCCGCATAATGGGAATCAAGGTCGCCCGAAAGTACCTGTACTCTCCCCTTTTCCAACGGGTCACATTGATCCGTTTGACCATCGCCCGAAATTCTCGAATGTAAAGTGTCTATTAATAGACGATCATCTCCCTCATCCCTCTCCCGAGTGTCTCGGAAATTCTTATCAAACAATGACTTTGTCGAATTCCCGTGAAAATCATCGCCTCACGAGGTGAACGAGAAGTCCGACAAATGGCCGGAAGTGCCAATGTCAAAAGACAAATGACGAGACAATGGAGTATTGGATGAGCCTCGCGCCAGGAGGCGCTCCACTCGAGACCATTGATTTATTGATTTATTGCTCGTTAACGTGTGCGCAATAGTCATTACGCCTCAATTTTTATTTATTTTTTTTGAAGCTTCGATTGACTTGTTTGAAGTCATGTTCTCTTCCGACATCCGGACAAATCGATTCTGCGGAGTGACGCCCCCCTGTGGAGCCTTTAGCGGGGAAAAAAAATTTTTTCGAGCGTAAACAAAGATAATTGCAAGATGGTCTTGACTCGGAACATTGTTAAAGGTCTCCATACTCGAGTTGTTTCGAGTCACGTGGTGTGGAGAACTACCGCCAGGCCCACCGAGACATGATGTGTGTAGCGACGCTATGAGAAATCGATAAGCATTGGAAAATGATGGTTTACTTGTAAACTTCCCGGATGATTGACAACAAAACGTTAATTTCGTTATTAGGATTTTTCGTTTCAGTCGAAAGCCCAGAGCCGCGATTGTGCCCGAATTACCCGAATTCTAGAGGATCTCCTCGGAATATTAAAAAATTGATATTTTTAGACTAGTCTGGACCTTCGGGATCTTCCCACCGCTGGCAATTGTTTCCGTCATAGCAATTCGATCATTTCAGTCGAGCTTTTTGACTCGAGTCATAACCTACGAGTCCGCAGAACCTAACCTCGAAATCTCAAATTTTCTCTCTCAAATTTTCCCCCAAAAACTGCATTTTTCCCGTATTTGGATGTATTTTCGGGAAATGTATATCGCCAACTTCGTATAGACATAAATACAAGTCTCCATTTAAACCCTAGGACTCGAAATATGACTTGGGAATGGGTGTGAATGGGACCTTGGCCGTTGATTCAATTGTCCTAAATTTAACATTTACACCCGTTATACTGAGACTGATGATTCATACTCACCAGTTATCACCAGGACGTTGACCTTTCGTTATTGTTGTCGATGAAATACTTTACTGAGTACTGAACAAATTATGGGAATTTGATACGAAATGTTCAGGACGAACGCCAGCACTGTTGTACGCCTAGCGTCGACAACACCGCACAGCTGAACAAAGCACTCCAGCGATGTTGCCACGTTTCCCTCCTGCGTTGCGACTGCGAGGGGCGAGGGGAGGGGAAGGGGAGCCGAGCTGGGAATATATTCGACTTTTTTCAGGTACCAAACAAAAAAATGATACTTTCGTCGCTGGCGGGGGATAAACCCCAATTTTTCCCGACTATTTATAAATTTTTTTTGTGCTTTAATAATTCGGTTTTTGAGGGGAAATCTGGGTGATCGTTTGCTGGATATCCGATTTCAGTCGCGCATGCGCAGTGCACTCACCCCCCCTACATTTTATTGAATCGCAGGACGAAAGCGATTTTTTAAATAATTGTCGTTATTTATCTTTTTTTTTATAGGTGATGAGCGGTTTTGTCAGCCAAGGGGGTATTATCGATCCTTTCGCTACACATTTAGAGGGCAATTTCGGGTCTAATTCGCCTTTTTAGGCCTGATTTGTTGACTAGATAAGTTCAAGGTTACTTGATGACGTCAGAAACGCATTTATAATTATTTAATAGGTGAAATTCGGGGGAGAAATGCGCGTAATGAAGGTGTGAATAATGTGGGGATTGTGGTGCGATGGCGCTGCAACGGGGTTTCACGTATAAATACGCGCACGCGTTGGCACTCGCTCCCGATCATTAGCAACAAAATAATCGGATAAAATAAACAATGGAATCGAACAATTTCCCCGCTACTTCTGGAGGGGAGAACTTGTGAGGAAGAAATTAATTTTCCCCTCACGCCTGAAGACTTCCAGCGAAATGAAGTCAGTCGTTTCGATTCGACTTCGAGTTCTCGAAAGTCGGATTAAAAAAAAATCAGTACACGTATTTAACGGAGAAATTCGCATTTGCGGACGGGGGAATGAAAGTCTGCGCGAATGACGGGAATATCGCAGGGTTAAACGTAAAGAATATGAAATAAGCGGGATAATCCTGCGGTACATTCCAGACGAAATACCAAACGGAGTCGTGATGACGTCATGGCACCCGACACTGGGGGAGTACCGCGGATGCAGTTGGGTGTGGGATCGCCAGTTTTAACTGACCGATTCTGGCGCACGAGAGAGTTACTTGGAGCCCTTGAAAATTTATTCGCAATATTATTTAATTATTTAGGGCTAGTCACAACATTTGGATGTCTTCCTAAGAATATTGCAAACGCATTTATATCGGAAATAACTTTAATTTTAATTTTTGAAGAATTATTGTTCAGAAAAAAATTAAATTTTAATTTATTCGCGGCATTATTTAATCATTTAGGGCTAGTCACAACATTTGGATGTCTTCCTAAGAATAGTGCAAATGCATTTGTATCGGAAATAACTTCCATTTTAATTTTTGAAGAATTATAGTTGAGAAAAAAATTAAATTTTAATTTATTCGCGGTATTATTTAATCATTTAGGGCTAGTCACAACATTTGGATGTCTTCCTAAGAATAGTGCAAATGCATTTGTATCGGAAATAACTTCCATTTTAATTTTTGAAGAATTATAGTTGAGAAAAAAATTAAATTTAAATTTATTCGCGACATTATTTAATCATTTAGGGCTAGTCACAACATTTGGATGTCTTCCTAAGAATAGTGCAAATGCATTTATATCGGAAATGACTTTAATTTTAATTTTTGAAGAATTATTGTTGAGAAAAAAATTAAATTTACATTTATTCGCGACATTATTTAATCAATTAGACTAGTCACAACATTTCAATGTCTTCCTACTAATAATGTAAATGCATTAATATCGGAAATAGCTTTAACTTTAATTTTTAAAGAATTATTATTTCCGATTTATCTGTTTATGTGGAAAAGGGTGCACCAGCGACAGAAAAATGTACTCTATCTTGTCGCTGATAAGTCAACATTAAAAAAAAAAAAGAAGTCGAGTGTCGGATAACCACCGCTGGCGGGATTGAACAGCAGAGGGAAGCACCAAGCAGATGGCAACGAGTACACCTACCGGCCTGAGCCCATAAGTACCGGCTCCAGACATAATTTTTTCGCAGAACGTATTCAGTCCCTTGAGCGAACGAAGCTCTTGGCCAGTGGCACTTTTTGCGCAGTATTAATTCGTGAGTATTTTTCTGTTGTAAAACGTTGCGCGATCGCCGCTCAGGGATTTTGTTGACGACTAAACGTCTTCTGCGTGAAAGTATAATTTGATTTTCGAGGTAATCGCGGAAATAATTTGTGGCGAAATTGATGGAATGTGGGCAATCTCCGACGGATCATTGACCTGTGCGGAAGTTTCTAGATCTCGAGATGAAACGGCATTTGCATGATTTTTTTTCTTGTGCAACGGACGTATCAATTCTCGCGTCGAAAAATTAGGTACTGATTTCATGGGTCGATAGAGAGCATTAATTGGCGTGAAGATTGCCTTGGGCGTTCCTCTATTTGTCGTGTGAATCGATATCGAAAACAAATATTGTGACTCCGTAGAACTGATAATCCGGAGGTGGGCATTTTTACTTGTAAACAAGCGGAAACACTATTTTTGAGAGATATTTCAAGTTGATCTTTTAGATCGATCAATTTCCTTTACTCATTTGTCTCTGAAACTGAAATAAAATAGTTATTCGATATCTCATTTTGAGGGAATGAAAAGGAAGAATAGTATTCACTATTTTATTGCACTATTTTAGCACTCGAACAATATTAATAAATCAGGGAAATTGAAACTGAAATAAAACTCTGGTTAGAGTCGACTGTTTTGCGGGATAGGGGAAGCGAATTCGGAGAATCCGACTCTATTTCCCTGCCCCCACTATGCACTCACGCCGAGCCCGACTTCCAAGAACTGGGAACGATAAAATGAAAAATACTATTTCTTTTCTCTCTCAATTCAACACTTTATTTTAATGATAAACTTTAGTTCACAGTTTCAACTATAATAGGAATATTCATATAGATTCAGACGATTTTTTTTATTATCAATATTTTTAATTTCATTGACTATATTTCATCACAGAAGCTTTGTACCTAACATTCCATAGAACAGATATTTCTCAGATAGTTCGTTCAGTTAACGAACCATGTGAATCAAAAATGTTACAGTCGTTTTCTTTACCTCCCTTCATTATTTGATTTAATCCAATTTCGAATTAATTTTATGCCAACAAAACGAGATCCTCCCCCCATGACAGCCAGAAGTGGACTAAATTTTTTGATCGACAATTCAAATGCAGAATATTTTATTTTTAGTCTTTACTGGAATCGGAAGACAATAGCAATTTGAAGAAAATATTCGAGTGTTTACTCTCCGGCTTGCGTGGGGACAGAGTGGGGGAAGCGCTCGAGCGGCGAGACAAAAAAATTGAGGAGAAGTTCGACACTAACCAATATGCCTCTAACCAGAGTCCACTGTACTCGATATTTCGTTTTGAGGGAATGTAATGGAATATGGGTGCAAGTGAATAAATAATATTGGAAATGGGATATTAATTTGAGTAAAAACGCAGTGAATTCAAATCTAATTTCTGTTCTTTATTAAAAACGCACGAGGAAGGAACGTCTGTACTGTACGAACTGCTCCAGCAGACTAAAAACCAGTCACAAAGACCAAAAGAATATCGTCACCTAAAGACAAAGAACCCTCAATTCGTTTTCCCTACAAAATTATTGTTTATGTTTATATTTCGTTCTCCGGCGCTTTCTCTGTCGATTCGGTTTTCCAACTCATAATATCATTAAATTATTTCTCTGAAATTTAGGTAAATAATCCAACAATAAATGGGCAAAACAATGAAATACTTTGTTAAAATGTTTATTTACTCGAGGAAGGCACGTCTTTTTTTTTAATTTTTTATTCAAGCTTCAAACCTGGCGGTTGCACAGCTAAGGGAGGCACGTCTACTAGAGGACCGCTGTCGTGAGACTAAAAGCAATAGCCAAGTGAAAGCTCTCGCTGGGAAAACGAAAGGAAAAATAATAAAGTTTTACGACTCAAGCGGACACAGTCCTTCAAATTTCAGCATGTGTTTAGGATTAAACCGCTCTCAGTGCAGAGCACAACGGATCGTAAATTAGTCCCTAGAACTGTTTTCCCAGTATGTCATAAATCTTCGTCGAGTAGTTTTTGTACGATAATAAAAGAGCTGTGCTCAAATATTCCAACGGAATGAGAAGAAAGAGTAGTGCTCGCCATTTTAGTCTATGACGATGATGATTTTTATTCTAAAATTGAATCTTATTTGAAAAAATGTAAAACTATCAGTGAAATCTGAAGATTGCTAAAGCGTTTAGTATGATACTCTGCTTTCAATATTCTGTCTATATGTATTTACTTATTTATTTTTCATTTTCTCCTTTTACGCGTTAATTCTGTTTCTTTCTGCGTCTTGTATATATTTCTTTTTCTGTAAGCAGCCTCGAATTACCTCGCTGTAGAGGCGACTAAATAAATTATTAAATAAAAAAAAATATTACACTATTTTACTATTTGATTGAATAATATTAAAGAGTAAAGAGAATTGAATAGTTGGGTGTACATGAAATGGAATTTTTTTGTCTCGACGAAGAACTCAATTATTATACGTATTAGTTGAGAATATTGCCCTCTCCAATCCCGATGATGAAGAATCCGATAAATTCGGTCTGTTGTTTATCGGATTTGGATGTATTTTAATTACACAAAAATTCCAATAGAAATTGAATGGTGTCAAAAGAATTTTTATCGATGCTTTCAAATCAGTAGCGAAGCGGTAAGACGATGATTCAAGTAGGTTTCGAGTATTCCTTAGTTTTCAGTGACTCGGAATCTGAGATAGTGAGATATATTTTTTTCGACAGAATCAATTTTTTCTCTCAGTGTAAGTAACTCGAATCGTTTTCCCGCTTCGCTACTGAAATTGTATTTCTCCAATTAAAATCAGTATTCTACCCAGATATGCTCAAACCTCGCACATTCCAGGAACATGCCGACCTACAAGGTGATTTACTTCCCAGTGAAGGCCCTAGCCGAGCCAATTCGCTTCCTCCTCAGTTACGGAGGTGTTGAGTTCGAGGATGAGCGATTTGACAGGGCTGACTGGCCCACTATCAAGCCCAGTGAGTCATAAAAAAAATTTGAGGCGGCTGTACCTTCGATACAGCGGTAATTGTACGTGGATACGTCCACGGTCTTTCCTTCTTTCTCGAATTTCCTAGAAACTCCTTGCATTCCCTCGAATTTTGTGGAAACTCTTTGAATTCTCCCGAATGTTCTAGAAACTCCCTGAATTTCCTCGAAATTTCTAGAAACTCCTTAAATTTTTTCGAAATATCAAGAAACTTCTCANTTCCTTCTTTCTCGAATTTCCTAGAAACTCCTTGCATTCCCTCGAATTTTGTGGAAACTCTTTGAATTCTCCCGAATGTTCTAGAAACTCCCTGAATTTCCTCGAAATTTCTAGAAACTCCTTAAATTTTTTCGAAATATCAAGAAACTTCTCAAATTACCTGGAAATGTCTAGAATTTTCTAGAATTCCGATAGATGGCGCTGCACATAAGGACCGTTTCCCAAAATGACCCCCCCATATTGAAATCATAGGCGTATCCAAGTTTGAAAAAATTTCAGGCGACTGTATCTTCGATACAGCAGTAATTGTACGTGGATACGTCCACGGTCTTTCTTTCTTTCTCGAATTTCCTAGAAACTTCTAGCATTCCCTCGAATTTTGTGGAAACTCTTTGAATTCTCTCGAATTCTCTAGAAACTCCCTGAATTTCCTAGAAATTTCTAGAAACTCCTTGAATTTTTTCGAAATATCAAGGAACTTCTCAAATTACCTCGAAATGTCTAGAATTTTCTAGAATTCCGATAGATGGCGCTGCACATAAGGACCGTTTCCCAAAATGACCCCCCCATATTGAAATCATAGGCGTATCCAAGTTTGAAAAAATTTCAGGCGACTGTATCTTCGATACAGCAGTACTTGTACGTGGATACGTCCACGGTCTTTCTTTCTTTCTCGAATTTCCTAGAAACTTCTAGCATTCCCTCGAATTTTGTGGAAACTCTTTGAATTCTCTCGAATGTTCTAGAAACTCCCTGAATTTCCTCGAAATTTCTAGAAACTCCTTGAATTTTTTCGAAATATCAAGAAACTTCTCAAATTACCTCGAAATGTCTAGAATTTTCTAGAATTCCGATAGATGGCGCTGCACATACGGACCGTTTCCCCAAAATGACCCCCCATATTGAAATCATAGGCGTATCCAAGTCAAAAAAAAATTCAGGCGACTGTATCTTCGATACAGCAGTAATTGTACGTGGATACGTCCACGGTCTTTCTTTCTTTCTCGAATTTCCTAGAAACTTCTAGCATTCCCTCGAATTTTGTGGAAACTCTTTGAATTCTCTCGAATTCTCTAGAAACTCCCTGAATTTCCTAGAAATTTCTAGAAACTCCTTGAATTTTTTCGAAATATCAAGAAACTTCTCAAATTACCTCGAAATGTCTAGAATTTTCTAGAATTTCGATAGATGGCGCTGCACATAAGGACCGTTTCCCAAAATGACCCCCCATAGTGAAACCATAGACGTATCCACGTCAAAAACATCAAGCCAAACCCGTAATTCCACATGTCGAATTAATTATAAACTCGAAAAAATTCTAGCCATGCCTTTCGGTCAGACGCCAGTTCTGAAGGTAGGTGACAAGACAATCCACCAGTCCACAGCGATCTGTCGGTACTTGGCCAAACAGTTCGGTCTTGCGGGGAAAGACGACTGGGAAAACCTTGAAATTGACGCGGCAGTCGATACCATTCACGACTTGCGACTCAGTGAGTAAAAAAAGCGCAATTGAAGTCGCGCCATCTCACGATAATTAAGAAACTCAAGTCATCATTGCACAACATGATTCATGGCCACCTTTTCCTTGTTTAGAAATCGGTGCATACAGTTACGAGACCAACCCAGCAGCTAAGGAAGAGAAACGTGGACCTCTTTTCAACGAAGTTATTCCCTTCTACCTTGAGCGTCTGGACGCTCAGGTGAAGAAAAACGGTGGTTACTTCGTCGGTGGCAAGCTCACCCTGGCAGATATCGTTTTCGCAGGTCTCCTCGACTACTTGGACTTCATGGCTAAGTGCAATCTCATCGAGAAGTACGAAAACCTCAAGGCCCTCAATGAAAAAGTCCTCGCAATTCCGCAGATCAAGGCGTGGGTGGACAAACGCCCAGTCACCGAATGCTAAAGATTCTCCTGATCTACATTCTCATTCAATGCGTAATATTTTTATGAAGTTGAAAAATACCCACCTATTAATGTATCTTAGATTGTGAGCACTAGCTCCACTGAATTACTATTTTTTAATAAAGTTTTTCCAACTTTTTGATCGATGACTACAGTGTACTGATTATTTAACACCTCATGAAATTGATTAATTAGTTCAGTTGCGAAGCGGTTAAATTATTCAAGTCGATTTTGACTATTGGTCAAATGAATATCTTGGGTACAGATGTATTATGTAATCATATGAGCTCTAGCATAGAACTATCAGATCATTTTGTTATCTGATACATAATTTATTATAATTGATATGAATCAATATTAAGGGTTGAAAATTTAGGAACATTTTTTTTAAGTCACTGATATTGGAAAAAATCGGCGGCCAAATCCCTGACATTTATTTCTTCGAGTGGTCGATTTGACGGTGATGTACTTTAGCGCAACGGTCAACGTTTCCCTCCTATGGTGACCAAACTAGGGTTAAATTCGGAGATATTTCTCGAAAACTCAGCTAAGAGCTGCCACCATGAGACCTATACAAACTGAAAAAATTAAAGTGCTCGGGATTTGAACTCGGGTGGGTATCGGAGCCCCAATAAATTGAAGATTGTAATGGTGATTGATAAAACCTAATTTGACTAACGGTTAATCATAAAAATTGAACAATAACTTCATGAAAACATCATAAGGGGCCATTGGAGAAAGATAACTTGAAAGAAACGGTCAAGTCATCCGAGATAATAAAACGCCTCATCATTGTACGAAGCTAGTCATTCGCGCAAACATTGTAGTTTTCCGAAGAAGGGTCTGAGCGAGCCGGTTCTGCTTTTATTTAGCTATGGAGAGATTAAGTGTGAAGACGATCGAGTTACTATAGAGAAGCGACCGCAGGTGAAGCCCATTGAGTTGATAAACATTTTATCATGTATTGATTTGTTCCGATGAAAAAATGAAATTATTTTCAGCGACACCTTTTCCTCAAGCGCCGGTTCCCCCGTACGGAAAACGGAATATATGTGAAATATATGTCAATTGTACGCACATATATTTCGGCGAAAAATGCAATACATCAGATATATTTTCGGCGAAAAATGCAATATGTCACATATATGTCACGTATAATTATTTGCATATATTTTTTTCCGTGAGGGCTGGAAGTGGATGGTAAGAGTATCCACCAGTCCAAGGCAATCCGTCGTTATCTGTCTTGAAGTTGCAAATAAACAAGTGCCTTTTTTTAAAAACACTTTTAACAATAAAATTTTTTATGATAAATAATTTTTTTTTGGCATTTCAAATTCATTTTTCGCATTTTAGATGCGCTACTTTAACGGGAAAGATGTTGACATTGATGCGGTAGTCGACACTATTCATGATTTGCGTGCTTGTAAGTATAAAAAATAGTAATAATAATGCAACTGATATGTGAATTATTTGTCCATTTAACTGGCCTTGCTCTGTTGCCTCTGTATACTATACAGTAATAAATAAATAAGTGAATGAATGAATAAATAAATATCTAAAACAAACGCCTTCAAAGAATTCCCAACTGTTTAAACCGTCGCGACGCTGAAGTAAAGAAAAACTGGGTATGTCGTCGGAAGGAAGGTCACATGGGCTGACTTGATATTCGTCGCGAAGCTGGATTACTCAAATTACATGGCGGAATTCGATCTTGTTGACAAGCACGAAAACCTCAAGACTGAAAATAAAGTGCTTATTCCCAGATTAACGGCTTGGGTTGATAAACGAGCCAAAATTGTAATTCATACATTTCTTTTTGAATAATGTATTGACACTGATAACAAAGTAAAACAAGTGGGATATTGCTTTCGTTACAACAGAGTCTGTATATTTTCGCAAATAAATTAGCAATTTGCTTCCGAATGGAATTTCTGTGATGATGTATTTTAAATTGAGTTCAATGATTTATTGAATTCAAAATTGCCCCAATATTGGGCCGACGTTGGCCGCCAACATTGTCCCAATATTACCCCAACGTCGGCAACCAGCATTGCCCCAACATTGGCCCAACGTCGGCAGTCAACACTGGCCCAACGTCGGCAGCCAACATTGACCCAACGTCGGCAGCCAAGATTGTCCCAATATTACCCCAACGTCGGCAGCCAACATGGCCCCAATATTACCCCAACGTCGGCAACCAGCATTGCCCCAACATTGGCCCAACGTCGGCAGCTAAGATTGTTCCAATATTACCCCTACGTCGGCAGCCAACATTACCCCAACGTTAAAATTGTTTACCTTTCCCTGAATATTAGTTGCAAAATAAATCATTCAAACTCCTGAGGCCAGAGTTAATTCCCCTGTCACGAAAAATTAAAAATTTCGGATTTAACGAATACATTGCTCCTACTTGAAAGAAAAAACTCATTCATCAAACTATTATCTTCAATCATGTTCAAATAGTAATACAATTCACCCATGAACGAAAACTAAAATAACGACACCCATAAAATCCCTTTTAGACGCACACACCACACGCCCGTTGGGAAAATAAATGAAAAATCAGAAAAGCCCCCATTGTTCTCATCACGAGCCCCTGGAATTGAAGACCTAAACATTTTCCATTGCGATTCTACGTGTAATGATGAATCACAACGGACAATGAGTTCCCCACAGCAACAAGGATAATAGCAATAACAATTTACCGAGCTAAACATCATCAACGCTCGTTTCAATGGAAGCTATTGTCAGGGCGATTCGATGACATAACGATAAGCCGCAGGGCCGGGACGTGGAGAACTGGTCGAGTGAGTGCTAACTCACATCCAGTCGTTGCTAACTATTTCAAGTGGAAGGAGTGGCTTCTCTCGCCGGCAAACCGGTACTTGCGATCTATTTTTCACTCGCCAACTCTGCTGAAATAACGTCCAGGTATCGTCGAGGAGACTTTTTTCATAAATTGCCGCACGGAGAGAAATATTTTATATTTAAGAAAAATTACACATCTTTTCTGTAATTCCGGAGCGAAATGTTTGGAGGAAATTTTACGGAACTGTCACGGAATTTTTCCAGAAAGTTCCGTCATTTTTACCTGAATCTCCGGTGAAAAATTACGATATCGTCACTTAAATTTTTTGACTCGATTCCGTAATCGGCGAGCGAAACATTTCTCTCCGTGCGTGGTGTAAGTTTTGATATTAAGAGATCGTCATTTGGGTTTTCTTAATCGAAATTCCCCTCGTGATTCCGGCCATTTATCGGTTTAAACGAGACATTTATCTGTTTCGCTACTGCATTCGTGATATATCATCATTTTAATGAAATTATTGGGCTCCAACGGAGGATTACAATATCGTCCTTGAATGTACCCTGACCTACAACTGCGATACGCTCGACAGTTATTAGGAGTGATTGTTCCTCGGAACGTTAATTACAAACGACTGCGGTATCCGTCATAACGGGCATGACAGTAGGTACCATTTAGCATCCATTTTTAGGATTACGGAGGCTCTCGCGGTTTTGTTCACGTTTTTACTGCTGAGAAGCCGATTTTGAAGGTCGTTTTGCTGACAATCAATGCAACAAATTGTTATTGACAATTTAATTGTAGAATTCGAGTTTTCTCGGAAACTATGCAAGATATGAAAAAATAGTTGAAATGAAAAAAGTTCCTCTTGTCAAACTGAACATTATTGCTTTTATGCATTTTTTTCATATTCGAAGTATTTCTGGGGATATCGAGGGTCGAAAGAATCGTCCAGTTTGTGCGCGGCACGCGGGACTGCCTAGAATTAGACGTGCGGATAACTCGGAAAATAATCTAGATATGAAAAAGATTCATAAGTACAAATATGTTCAGTTTAATGAGAGGAACGATTTTTATGGGAAGTATTTTTTTCTATCTTGGATAGTTTCCGAGAAAATTTGGTTTCAACAGTTGAATTGTTGATAACTTTTTTTTGCGTCGGTTACCAGTAAATGATCTTCAAATTCGGATTCTACGGATCAAAAAAGATGGAACACATCAAAATTGATACTAAATGGTACCTAGCGGATGGACTACCCTGTTAAAAAAATTTGGGAAATTTTCAGAAAATTTTTTTTCGGAAAATTCCTTGAATTCGATTTAAAGAGGAAAAGTCTATAGAATTTCAAGTTTCGCTGAAAATGAAAGTAGAGGCCAAATTTTTTAGCGCCAGGAAGACGGAAATTCCACAACTCACATGAATTTTTCAGCGAAAATGAATATTCACTGTCAGATTCCCATTAATTTTCAGGGAATTCCTTGAAAATTCTTGAAATTCCCGAAATTTTAAAGCAATTTTCCTGATTTTTCATCAATTTTCCCTAATTAAAATAAAATGTACAGTTCCCTGGTTTTCCATGAAATTATGAATTTTTAATGACAAAATTCTTAATAATTTTCAATGACAAAATTTTTAACGAGAAACGTTATTCCTTATAAATTTCCAAGACTGCCATCGGAAATTTCAGTGGAACATTTTTAATAGTGTGCGTCGTAAATTCCCCTGGACATTATTAATTTTGTAATTTTGCAGTTTCGCTTTTTCAAAAATAAAAAAAAAAACGAAGATGGCCTACAAGCTGACGTACTTCAACATCATGGGCTTGGGTGAGCCCATCAGACTCATGCTGAGTTATGGTGGAATTAAGTTCGAGGACCGACGATTGAGCTTCGACGAGTGGCCGAAGTACAAGCCCGGTGGGTAATCTCATAAATTCCCCAAAAATCACCCATACTCCTCCTCCTCTGGCTCTTGAATTTTGCAGAGATGCCGATGGGTCAGATGCCGGTGCTGGAAATTGGGGAGAATAAATATCACCAGTCTAAATCGATACTGCGTTATCTCGGTAGGAAATTCGGTATTCATGGATCGAACGACGAGGAGGCGTATCAGATCGACGCTACAATTGACGACATGGATGATATGAGAGTTGGTGGGTAGAATCAGCCCTTCATCGTTAAAAACTTCAATTCAATTCATGCATTACTATTTAAAACAGTATTTCTCCAATTACGTCTACTCATTAAATGATTTGCAATCATTCGCGGCGAGTATTGCATATAGTATACTTATTTTTGCTAATAAATTAGCAGCATGCCTCCGAATGGTTATTTTGCACATCATTTCCTTCTATCATGTATAATTCATAGCTTATTTCATTTTATTAAACTAAATAAGATTTCTTTTCAACTAATTTTGTCACATTTTCAACTTGGTTGAATGTTATCATCATCATTATTCCTATTATCCCTTTCTCTATACAACCGATTGTTTTTTTACAGTTCTATCTCTCCCCTCAGCCCTTCGATAAAATGTTAATAGAAAAATTTTATTTACACATACTTGAATGAATTTGAAACATCACATTTGAAGAAATCATCAGAAAGCTCACTTTCAGGGAATTTCATGAAAAATTCGAAATTTTCAACAATCATCATAAAAATCAAATCAACCATTAAAACAAATATTTTAAGCTATTATTGAATTCATTTGAAGCACGATATTCAAAGATATCCCCGAAATTCTGATTTTCAAAAAATACAAAATTTTTGAAAATTTTCAAATAAGTCAAAATAACGATTATTGCTGCCGCCTTCATCTTCAAACTCGGTCCAAAGGACATCCAAACAATTTTTTTAAGCCACATTCAATCAATTCAGAACATTTTTTTCAGTTATCGTGGGACAACCGATTTTCAAAAAAATCGAAAATTAAAAAAAAAATCGATAAATTGAATTTTAATTGATGGCGATCGATAGGGCTGAACAATACCTACATTTAAAAAAAGACAAACACATTTATATAATTTATTTATATAATCTAATCATTGGTCTCTAGACAAGTATTTTATGTAATAAACGTACGTAATCTTAAATCATGACGATTTCCCTCTTTCTCAGCGGTGTCAACCTGGTACTGGGAGCAAGATGAAACTGCTAAAGCAAAGCAGAAGGACGATGCAATGAAGAAGATGTCCTTCACCCTCGGTAAATTGGAGGACCAAGTCAAGAAGAATAAAGGCTACTTCGTGAACGGCAAGGTAAGTGAAAAACCGAGTCACACGTCAGGTGAATTTCCATTCAGCTCTCCTCATATTTCATGCAAACCGATATTTCCACAGCTATCTAGCGCTGACATACTCTACACTGCATACACGGATTATATCTCTCTGGCGCTGGGACACGATCTCAATAAGGATCATCCATCGCTGAAGAAACTCGTCGAAACAGTCGCTCAGATACCGAAGATCAAGGCATACTTGGAAAAGCGGCCAAAAACCGCGATTTAAGGAAAATGATTGTGTTCTCTGACATTGAAATATCGTTTATTCTATAATGTTCTCGAATTGTTTGTGTTGATTCGATAATAATTAATGATTTGCATGAGATCTCGTTGTTTGATTGATTTTACGATGCAGAATCTGCTTAGTTAGTGAGTATAGTCATCATTACCATCATCTTCTTGCTTAAAAACCAAAACTACTGATATTCAAAGTCATTCCTGATGAATTGACAGTACACAAAGGTCAAACTTCGATGGGAAACTCTTAATTATGTACAACAGAATGTCATCTATTCTTCGATATCTCTGCATCAGCTGTAAAATTAATCACAAAAACAGTCACTCAGATGATTTAAGGAAAATGATTGTGGTTTCTGACACTGAAATATCGTTTATTCTATAATGTTCTTGAACTGTTTGTGTTGATTCGATAATAATTAATGATTTGCATAAGATTTCGTTGTTTGATTGATCTTACGATGCAGAATCTGCTTAGTTAGTGAGTACATTCATCATTACCATCATCTTCTTGCTTAAAAACCAAAACTACTGATATTCAAAGTCATTCCTGATGAATTGACAGTACACAAAGGTCAAACTTCGATGGGAAACTTTTAATTATGTACAACAGAATGTCATCTATTCTTCGATATCTCTGCATCAGCTGTAAAATTAATCACAAAAACAGTCACTCAGATGATTTAAGGAAAATGATTGTGGTTTCTGACACTGAAATATCGTTTATTCTATAATGTTCTCGAACTGTTTGTGTTGATTCGATAATAATTAATGATTTGCATGAGATCTCGTTGTTTGATTGATCTTACGATGCAGAATCTGCTTAGTTAGTGAGTATAGTCATCATTACCATCATCTTCTTGCTTAAAAACCAAAACTACTGATATTCAAAGTCATTCCTGATGAATTGACAGTACACAAAGGTCAAACTTCGATGGGAAACTCTTAATTATGTACAACAGAATGTCATCTATTCTTCGATATCTCTGCGTCAGCTTTAAAATTAATCACAGGTAGCTTGTAGATATTGAAATTAATTCCGGATGAATGAATCCTATTGTAATCGTCTGATATTCCCCCTCGGCAGTCTTCACTAATCACATTCATGAAAATTAAATACAAAACTTTGTACGACACTCGGAATGAATCACTTCACTCATCATTTCACCGGTATTAATTCTCAAAGTTCATCTTCGCTTTCGGTATCCTCCGGGTAATGGTCGCGTCAGGTGACGAGCTCGATGTTTATCTCCCCCATGTACTCGGCCAGTTCGGACCCCGTGAATTCAGTTTCGTCCAGGTCTTGGAGGCTTGAGTTGCTTATGGTGTTGGCACTTTCGATGCTCGGATGACTTTTGATTCTACTTTGGGTTTTTTGGAGGGGATCGGGCCTTGCTCTAGGTTTAGAGTGTCTCTGCTGGTGGGCGAAGAGTTCTTTAGTACTGGATCTCAGGCGTTCGGCAAGCAATCCTGGAAAATCATATTCCAAATTTTGTGAGAATTTAAATGAACATTCAACCGTCCCTCGTCAATCGATTCAATGGGAATCAGTTCCCAATGAATAACTCGAAATCTAAGGGAGATGGCAAAATTTTTATCGGAACCTTTTTTGTAGAACGGATTGAGGACTACAAAAAAGGTCATAACGAAAATTTGATATCTCTCTTAGATTTGGAGATATGCCTCAAAAACTCAAGTTCAAATTTTTATTTAAGAATTAAATGTGGCCTTTCGTTCCGAAATGTTCACCAATATAATTTAATCTATATTGACATTTCATTAACTTCTTTTTAATAGTCAACCGAGTTTTTTTATCAAGAAACTTTTTTTCTTATGAAAGTCGTTTTGATTTTCTGGTTTTAATTGTAAGATTCACGTTAATTGTCTTTCTTTAACTTTTTCATCGGCAATCTTGATGTTATTCTCGTTATTCTGATTCATCATCTAATTCACCTTATCCCAACAAAATTAGAATCTGTCTCCATGACAGTCTATAGGGAACTGAATTTCATGATCGTAAATTCATATTTAAAGTATTTTATTTTTCGGTATTCCTGGAATTGAGAAACATTGCATCCTCCTTCGGAGCTCGTGGATAGTAGAACGGGGGAGGCGAACGAGCGGCGAAAAATCAACATGAGGGAAAATGCGGCGACTATAACGAGTGCGACTATAACTGGAGTCTACTATATCGATTTCGAGTCACACCTTTTCAATTGAAAGCCCGAGTTGTAGACCCGAGTTTGTAGCAGCGATGTCAGACAAGATATGATTTTTTTTTTGGGCTCCAATGAAAGAGCGGGTCGAGAAATTACGTGTTAGAGCCTCTAAACATGACAAATGTCTCTAAAGATGATATCTGTTTTCAATTGAAAAGCAGAGTTGTGACATCATTGTCTAGGAGGACAATGGGGTCTAGGAGTATGTATAGAACATTGGGGTCTAGGAGTCTCCCCTGGTTCAAAACCATCTTTAGAGGTCCTAGCACGCCATTTCTCGACCCGCTCTTTCGTTTGAGCCCAAAAAAACATTCATATCTTGTCTGACATCTTTGCTACAAACTCGGGTCTTCAACTCGGGGTTTCAATTGAAACCCCTTTATCCTCTTCACCCCGTTATCCTTTTATCTTGCGGCTTTCTATTTTGTACTCTTTTTCATTTATTTCCCCACAAATTCTGTTAATAAAATTATAGTTAATTGAAGGGGCTCTCATTTAACATTGATCCCAAAAATGGGATTCGAATCCTCTATCAAGATTCATGGAACTATTTCGAGTCAAACCTCTTCTCTTTTCTTGTATTTTCCGTCTGGGTTTTTGAAAGAGAGTTGCATTGGAGGCACCACATAATTAACCTATTATTTCAGTTATTAATTAATTGAAATTTCACTACAATTGCCTTTAGCCGGTGCATTGTTGTCGGGGCGACAACTTTTCAAGAGAGCGAGCAGCATTACATATTTGTTCTTTTCTCCCTCTCAACTATCTTCATGTACAATCGTCCCTTTCCATTCTATTATTCTTTCATCTCACGTTTTATTTTCTACTCTTTTTTATTTATTCCTCCCCACATCCCTTAACAAACTTCCAATCAATCAAAGGGGCTTTTATTCACAAAAATCCATAGTAAATGCCCCGATCGCGGAAAATAAAATTATTTCCTCTACAAAAAAAAACTTCATGCCCAACCGATGCCACTCACCTATGGTGACAGCCTTGAGGGGTCTCTGGACTATAAGACATTTATTAATAGCATTATGAGAAGCTCCATCTTTATGTCGACACCCCTCATCAAGACTTTTCCCCTGTGACGTGAGAATATTGACTTGACTGGGCTCCGAGTCATTTCCCCCCGCACAATTCGCATCGCCCGTGGCCCCGGGTGTGACCCCCGGGGTAGTTTCGATCCTCCCGGTCGTGATGACAGGATTCTGATGAGACTGACGCTCGATTTCCTCCTTCCGGGTCATCGGCGTCAAGCGCTGTGTATCATCACTGGCTGAGTACGAGCTCGAGTGTTGCTCAGGTCTCCTCGACATTGATTTCTGATAACGCGAGAGGCTGGTGTACGTCTGTCTCCGAGGGCTTGCACGTTCAATCGATCTCCTGGCACCGCATCGCTCAGCTAACATCGTCTAAAACATATTTGCGACTATTGACTTATTATTACTCTCGTGATCGCCAACAATTCCTCCGGAATTCAATTGTCCTCGATAATTAATCACCTTGAATGCCGCACGAAACTTGTTCGACATTATGTTGTATAAAAGGGGATTGACTGTTGTTGATAGGTAGTAAAATATTCCGGAGATGTACGTCAGGATGGTGTACACCGTCACCAGGGACTGTCCACCAGCATCGCCTACGCTCTTTGCGTATACGGCCAGCAGTCTTTGAGCGTGAAAGGGCGCCCAGCAGATGAAAAATGCCACTACCACTGCAACTGCATGAACAATTGGATTTCTTTTTATTTCGTTTGACGTTTTTCCGAAATTTTTTTGTCAATCACTATTTTTAATTTCAATTGATTGAACTTTTTTTTTCCTGATTTTCATTTTTATGGAGCAATTTGGTGTTGGACTGTGCGGTCAGTAGCAAAGTCGAAGAGGGAATAAAATAAATAATAAACGTTCAACTATGTTGAGACTAAGCCCAAATTTCATTTTTAATATGAGAATTGAATTCAGTAGCAAAGTGGTCAAACGGTTCAAGTCAATTTATGAGTTTTCCGGAAATATTTCCGAATTTAAGGGAGATAGCGCAATTTTCATAATAACCTTTTTTGTAGAGCGAGTTGAGTGCTACTAAAAAGGTCATGAGAAAAATTTTGCTATCTCCCTTAGATTTCGAGATATTCATTGAAAACTGGCTACTAGCCAGAATTGGCTTAAACCGTTTGACCACTTCGCTGCTGAATTAAAAATGGTGGTCATGTGTCTTTAATAATAATAATTAATAATTAACGATAAATTGACAAATTAATGAGTTTCGGGAGATTGAAAATGTCTGCAATGTGACGTCGTAATGCAGAAATTTCTTCAATTTTAATTTCTTAATTTTTCATGATTTTCTGGGATAAAAATATTGTATGCAACGATTTAACTAAAATATCAGTGTCGATGAATCCAAACGAAGAGTTATTTTCCGACATTGATTCACACCTGGCCAATAACGAGGCCACGGGAGTGAGTAATCGTCCACCAGCCATTTGCCTTCATTTACCTTTTCGCTCTTTGGAAACGTCTCATAGTATTACCTTTTATTGCCACTGCAATCTACCCCCGAGGGTCTTATTATAAAATTTATTGTTTCTTTATTCTCTGACCTCCATTTCGCTCTTAATCGAATTCAGGAAGGGGTTTAATTAATTCATTAATGAATTTCAATTTCGACGGCGTGAGATTCATTTGAGGGTATCGAATAACTCAAGGGATTAGAGCATTTCATTAAATACATGTGACAACATGAAATCAAAATAACAAAATCAACTGCGAATTATCTTTTAGATTAAAAATTTTGAATAGTCATGGAAATTAAGAATTTAAATAATCAATGTTTGAATAATACAAATAAAGTGACAACATTTTAAAAAATTGCTGCAAATGTTGAAGCGGATTTCGACGATAAATAAAATACTAAGACATCCTGAAGGTGATTTCGACGAAATATTCTCCAATTATCATAAAAATCGGGTATTAAATAGTCCCAGCTGGCGCCATATATCGTCATCCCACCTATTCAAGACATTCCCTTCCACTCACGGTACCTCAACCTTGAATAATCCCAATCTAATTGGTTAAAAAAAGAAACTCGTGTACGAATTTTATATCAGGTATTTCTGAGGGATCGGGAAACGAATTGGAGTAAACAAATCGAATAAAATATTCGTTTCTCTCTGATAGAACAGAACCGGAGAGAAAAGCGAGGGTGATTTGATCCATTCACTGTGTCTTCTTGCGGAAACTCTCTTTATCTGGAGGGAATATCTTTCCTACGACTCTAAGAAAGGATGAAACTAGAATAAAAACACCGCAAGAACTGAGGGGAGGGACTTTCCAAGTTTGAGGCTCAACCGTATTCATCACCTAGAATCTAGGTCTTAGATCGATGGACTTCGCTTGCCAAGATAGGGTTATTACCGCAGTTTTTCTTGTGGGCTTTCTACATTTGTCAAGCATACGCAGCCCCATTAACTCGAATTCTCCTCGAGCTCCACGAAATTCCGTAAAAATCTTTTCGTCGTTTTGAGTGGGGCGCCTTTCTTTCTTGATAAATTTGTTTCTGAGTTATAAATAATTTTAAAAAAGTCTAAAGTGTCCATTTTACCTCATCCTCCCCTATTTCTATTACATATCTATTTCAATTCATTATCTGTGATCCTCAACTTAATCCAATTATCATCATTTAATGATTACTATGATTATCCTCATTATCTTTTTTTCCCTTGAGTTCCAGACATCCAGAAAAAACACAGTCATCTCGTGTCATCTCCCCTTAATACATCACCCAACTTTATAATTCCTTCAAGGTCATTTGCATAATTGAATAGAAATCCGGGAATGATTGATGCAGTGAACGATGAAAGTTAGTAAACCGTGCATTATCCTCCTCCTAATCGAGGAAACATGAAATGATACCCTTCACCCCCAATCTTCAACGCTGACGTCACAAAAACTAGGGTCACGACCTGAAACTTTGATATTTGTTGTGACAAAGTGCGTGGGACTCGAGGAAGAATTGAACCCCGAGCTTTACGTGAAGAAGTCAAGTGGAATTAGGAGAAAGTCAAACAGAGTGAGTGTCAACATCCATAACCCAGGATTACGAACATTGTGGAAGACACCCGGAAATGGATTTTCATTCATTGATCCAGTGGCTTAACCCTCCCGCCTACTCTGGCCCTCCGCCAGAACGTGAGTGTAATTTACACGCACCGGGTGTTTGCTGATGGTTCATTCAAATCACAAATGTCGGGATTCGTTGCTTTTGACATTTACTGCAGGAAAAAAATTGGGGGTTCGAAGTCTGCCCCTAGATTATATCGGTTTCAAAAATTGAGAACAGTATTATTCTCCTTCGGATGCAACTAGTAATTGCATTAAAGATGCGATTCACTCTGAAGCATAAAAAATATTGAAAAATATGGGATTGTTCGCGACACAGTAAAAACGAATGTCTGAATTTCACACACGTTTGTAGACATTTTTCAGACACTGAAAAACGTCTGAATAGAATTAAATGTGTCTGAATTTCAGACGAACAGTTGCCCAAACATCTTAATTTGCGTTTGAAATTCAGACAATTTTTTATTTTATTCAGGGGTTTTTTAGTGGCTGAAAAGTGTCTACAAAAGGTGTGTGACATTCCGACATTCATTTTTGCTGTGGAGTTCGACGAAATTTTCTCCAGAATGAAAATAAAAAAAAAATAAAAAAAAATGGATTTGTTTGACTTTTACTGTATGAAAAAATTGGAGGGTTCAAAGTCTGCCCCTGGATTATATCGGTTTCAAATAATGAAAACAGTATTATACTAATTTTACTCAACATATGATTCACTCTGTGTTCGACGAAATTTTCCCCAGAAAAAAAATATAAATAATATTGCGATTATTTTATCGCCACTTTCTCGGACAGGTGTTTGCTGACAATTCATTCCAATCACAAATGTCTGAAAAAATTGGAGGGCTTAACTCTGCCCCTAGATTATATCGGTTTCAAAAATTGAAAATCGTATTATTTTCGTTTGGATGCAACCATTAATTTCATTCAAGATATGATTCCCTTGGAATAAAAAAAATATTAAAAAACATGTTCGAGGAAATTTTCCTCAGAAAAAAAGTATAAATAAAATTCCGATTATTTTATCCCCATTTCACACATTTGTGGATTCATTTATGACATTTAGTAATATTATGAAAAGTTGCACCTTAAAGTAATTTTGATTTATTTATCGTAATTGAAATTTGAAAAATAATATAATAATTGGTAATTTAATTTCTCAATTATTGGTTGACAAAATAATTCGGAATTTGAAAATTGAAATTGATGGTTATTTTTAAAATAAAAAAATTGATGAATAATATCACCAATTGACTTATTCCAAATTTAACTGCATTTCAAAATTTCGATTATGCCGATGTCTGTCCAAAATTATATCGGTTTCAAAAATTGAAAAAAATTTTTGAAAACAACTACTCATTTTGTTTAAGATGTGATTCACTCTGAACCAGAAAAATATTAAAATACACGAACTTGATGAAAAGTCAGTCTAAATTTCCCCCGGAACGAAAATAAAAATAAAATCCCGATTATTTAATCTCCATTTCCTCACACGCCAGTGCAGTTTGTACATAAACAAACCGACAGTCGTCGCCTAGCAGTCCTTCCCGGAAATACAGCGCAAATATTGTAACTAGGAAATGCCAGATTTCTGAAATAAAATAATCATATGAACGAAACTGACATTCCGCCTGATCTATCGATGCAATAACAATTTGATCGATGCCTCATGCTGACGTGGCTCCATCTCACCTGCCCAACCATAAGGGATTAATGCGACTCGATTTTGCCATGCCTCGCGTACCAGTTTATGGAATACAGCTTGTGGAACTGCCGGGAGTGTCGCTGAATAATGGATCAACTCTTGGGTATCTCTCCCATCGAGTCCCCTTGATACGGAAGCTCGAATGTTATCTCAGCAGTTACATTCATAAAAAATTGCCGATCTCATTTATTCGGTTTTAGTCGTCAACATCTTCTGATCAAATGGAACGATCTGGATGAGTCAAGGCTCGTTTTAAAGCTTGAAAAAATACCTTGAAAATGAAAGAAAAATCGAAGAATTCGACTCTGCTGTTCTCGAGACATTTACGATTCAAGACAAAGACTCACGAGAAAAATGAACAAAATTATAGGACTTGTTTTTGTTGGATATCTCGGAATCCAAGGGAGACACAAAAAATCGGTCTGAACATTATTTGTAGAGCGGAACGAGATCTTCAAAAAAGCTTTTCACAATTTTTTTCGTATCTCCTCTACTTTCGGAAATATTCGCAAAAAACGAAAGTGAAGGAAAGTTGAGAATTTCTTTTTTCATGTTTACGATGACGGAAATAGGAATACGAGAAATGAAACTAATTGCGGAGATAAGAGACGGTTTAGGATCTTCCAGAGCCTTTGTTCGTCGAAATAAATTACCGCCAAATAAATTACTCAAGTCACGAACTCGGTTGAGGGAAAATAACCGGTTTCTACTATTCCAACTCGATCTCCCCTGATTTGCGATCGAACGATCGACAAAAGCTCAACTGATGTCTCATGAGGAAGCAAAGCTCGAGTGGTCAGTGGTCACTCCCATTAACAAGAATAACTCCACAAGTACTTCATCGAATCGCCTCCATCAGCATTTTGGTAGAGCAATAAACCATTTATCGTCGATCCGGTGATGGGAAATAATGAAAATCGAGAGAATGCGGTTCATTACTCCCACACCAGTCGCTTGTAGATTGCGGGGTGGAAATAAATAAAATTGAGTTACTGGTGGATAAAAAAAAAACACATATTTATGGATAAGAGGTGTCCGAAAACCCGTCGGGAATGTCGAATGGACCTGACTCTTTCTCGATGACCTTTTCGTACTCTCAAGGAATTTCAATGAAAAAAAATAAGTGGAGGAAGAATGCGGGGGTTTTTGCTGAGGTGAATCGAGGTAATTGCTTGTTATGACTGGATAGATTCGTTGATTTAATTTGAGATGATTGGGTTATTCAAGTGGATGAGGCACGCCGGTGGGAGTGTATACGTTAAATCAGTGACGAGACGAAATTAATTCATAGCGAAACGGTAAAACGGTCAAGTTGATTTTGATTATTCCCCGGTTTTCAATGAATATCTCGGAATCTGAGGGAGATGGCAAAATTTTTGTTGAAAACTTTTTCGTAGGGTGGACTGAGAGCTGCAAAAAAGGTCATTACGAAATTTTAGGTAGCTCTCGTGGATTCGGAGATATTCTTCGAAAACTCAGATGAGGGTTAAAGCGAGTTGAACCGTTTTTCAAGAGATGAGCTCTAGGGGAATTGCAGCTTCGGAAATTTCCAATAAAAATGGCTTCACAGAATTTTCGCTATTTGCATTGTATTCAGAAATATTTTTAAGAAATTAATCTTAAAAAATTATTGATTTTTCAAAAATTGACGTGAGGATGTTTTAGTTTTTTACGAATATCACGGAATATAGTAGAGATAGGGAATTTTTTGTAGAAATCTTTTTTGTAGAGTGAATTGAGAGCTGCAAAAAAGGTCATTATGATAATTTTGGTATCTCTCTTAGATTCGGAGTTATTCCTCGAAAACTCGGCTGAGGGCTAAGTCGACTTGAACTTTTTTACAAGTGATGAGGTCTAGGGGAATTGCAGCTTCGGAAATTTCCTATAAAAAATAGCATCACAGAATTTTCGCTATTTGCATTATATTCAGCAATATTTTTAAGAAACTAATCTTAAAAAATTATTAATTTTTCAAAAATTGACGTGAGGACGTTTCAGTATTTTACGAATATCTCCGAATACAGCAGAGATAGCGAATTTTTTGTAAAAACCTTTTTTGTAGCTCTTGAAATTCTCTACAAAAAATCTTTTAACATAATTTTCGATATCTCTCTTAGATTCCTGAATAATTCGGAAAAACAGATCCTCAAGTGAAATCGGATTATTTTGTTAGCTGAAAAAACATTAAATTCTTCAATAATTTATAGTAATGAATGAAGAAAAATAATAGGCAAAAGGTAAGATACTTACGAAGGAATGCCAAACAGCAGGAAATAAATGAAAATGAATGAAATATTGTAACTCACCCAGCATTCTTATAACATTCCTCTGCGAAGTAACTCTCGACCTCCCGCTCTCACTGCAATTCAAACTCCCCGGCACTGGATTGCGCTTAACAGCCACCAGTATCCTCGATCGTCTCAATTTGATACCGATGAGTACATAAAGTACCGTAATGATGGTCATCGGCAGTACGAAGAACAATATCGTTGATATTTCAAAAGCGTGGTCGATAATCTGCCACTTGACCGAACAGGCTGCTGTGTCGGGTATGGCAGTGCCATTCAGCGTTCGCGAAAAGGTGATGCCAAACTGAATGGCCTGCGGTATTGCCAGACACAGTGCTAGTAGCCATATGAGGATAACGTACTTTACTGCACGCGAGAGCTTCGACATTGTGTGAGATAAAAAGGGGTGACAAATTGCGAAGTATCTGCAACATCAAAATTGATTGGACTCCTCTCGGATTTTGACATTTCGGGGGGGAAATTAATTGGGGAAATTGACGGGATTTTTTTAGGAAGCCACTCCTTAAGAGATAATTTTATTCTTGCTTGTGGTGAGTTAATTTGTCGAACGGCTCATCAATTCAGTAGCCAAGCGGTAAAACGATTTAAAGATATCCAGGTGCTTTGGCTATTTTTTCTCCAGTGAAATGCTTTTTTAGTTTTGTAGTCGAACATCAGAGCTTTCATTCGAGCCCCATTTGACCTTAGACTTTCGCACATTTTACAATGATTTTATTTTTTATTATTCAATTTTGTTTTATTATTATTTTTATTATTCAACTTTGGAGGTCGGAATTGGAATCTCGATATTGAACCGTTAGAAAACATTTAAAAACCCCGAAAAAATAGAAAGTTTACTTTTGCAGGAAGATTAATGGAAAAATTTTTAAATTGCAATTTTTGAAAATTACGAGCATTTTTTATAAATAATTTATAAACCATCAATTTTCCACTGTAAAAATCATTTGTTCGGAATGGTAACAAATTTATTCGGAATTTAATCAGAAATAGATTTTATGCCAAACAAATAAGGTTTTCGAAAGTTTGAACAATTTCAATTATTCATTTATAGACAATAGATTTATAAAAAATATTTTAAAATATAGTAATTCAGTGCACAATTTAATTTGAATGACTTATTAAGATGTACATAATTGATCTCTCAAACTATTCATCGGCTCTTCATATAAATTTAATCAATTCTGAAAAAAATTATGAATATTCGGCGTTATTCAAATTACATTTTGCACAGAATTATTATTATTCAAACATTGGTTGTTTAAATCCTGATTCGATGGGTTAAATCCTGATTTTTAAACATTTCTTCTTTGAAAAACCAAAACGATACACGGAGGGAAATTTTTTAGAAAAATTCTAGTGCTAGCACGGGAAAAGAGGCGCAAAGTGACGGCCAGCAAAAAAAATCCAGTGCCGGCACTAGAATTTTTAGTGGGGAAAATGTGAATTTTTCCCCGTATTTCTGTGAAAATTTCCCAAAAATCCCCAGAAATTTTACCAGAACTACCAAGAAATTTTACCTTAACAGCACTAGAATTTTTCACAGCCGGTGGATTGTGATTTTTTCTAGTACTCGTACTAGAATTTTGCTAGAAAATTTCTCTCCGTGTAATTAAATTGAGAAAAAAATTAGAATTCCGAATCTAATCGAGTTTTCTGCAATTTTTTTGCAGTTTTCAATAATCTTTGAATCTACCGTAAGGGTAGAGCTACTTTAAGTCGACTTACCCCCCACTTGAGTTTTTGAGAAATATTTCCGAATCTAAGAGAGATAGCGAAATTTTTGTAAGATTTTTCGATAGTCTACACTTCTCTTTACAAAAAAGATTTCCAGGAAAATTTGCCAACTCCTTTAGAATTTGAGATATTCATCGAGAACTGGCGCTGGAATGGAAATGACTTAAATCGTTTGACCACTTCACCCCTGAAATGCCTCGAAAAAATCTCATTTCAGGATGTTTAGCCAGTGTCGGTAAATTGTCGGTAAATGTTTTTTTTCATATTCAAGGAAAATTCTGTAATTTTTTCGGTTGACAGCAGAACGTATAAAACCACCTTTTCTAACGTTGAAGAAAAATTGATCGCAATAGTCTCGGCAGAAATGAATAAACTAATTTTTCCTTATACACGGGCTCTTACGAAATTTACGTTCAAATTGATAATTCACCTACTAGAAGACTCTAAAAATAAAAATAAAAATAGAAGGTAATGTGTAAAATCATACTGAATCCAATGGCCAGAGAAAAATCTGGGGTACCCGAACAAAAAGAGGAAATATTTGAATGATTCTATCCCACATAAGCGCATGTTAGCGCATGCATTTGGTGCATTTTGTCTATTTTATTTCTAAATAAAGAACATGGGTTGGTGGATTGAAATTTGTATCAAAGTGAAGGGAATATCTTCATCTCTCAGTTGAAAAAAAAATCAAAATTTTTTCAAGTACTTGGGATTTTTGATAAACATCCTTAATTCCCATACCATACCTTTCAACCGTGAAAGCCGTGATAGTAAGAACAGTGGCATTAGCCGAGGTCTCAGCAGCGAAGCTCTGAATGATGCAGAAACCCTCGCCAAAAACATACGGAAAATGCGACCAAATGTAGTACATCTCAGGTGGTAAACCAGACACAAGTAGCAGTAAATCGGAGATAGCCAGACTGAACAAATAGTAATTGGTAGCTGTATGCATTGATCGATTCCGCGCGATAACCACACACGTGGAGACATTCCCCACAAGTCCAGTGAAGAATATAGCGACATAAATAATAGTTATGGGTACAACAACGTACAGAGCATCTCGTTTAGGTGTTGTCTGATTGAAGCCCTCACTGATTATCAATTCCGGGTTGTTGTTGGTGTAGTTATCGGTGAAGCGCGATATATCGTTGACGGACGTGTGAACGAAGTTATTAATCCCGAAGGGAAATGTATCGATCGTCGATCGATCCTCTCGCATCCCCTGACGCATCGTTGAACTATTTTACTTCATCGGCATTTCACAGTTCCCAGTGCTTCCCTTCAATTACCGCACGAACACTTCCGTTTCTATTTCTATTTTTGAAGTTTTAAAAAATACGGGAACAGAAGAGTTTTGTATTTTCACTGATTTTCACTATTGTGCCACGACCGCCCACGAGATGTTCTCCAAAATGACGAGCAGTCGAGTTAAACGCGACTTTTCGATGTATAGGACAAGATTAATGACTCCAATGCCCCTGTTTGTCGTCAACTCGACGATGAAACGGTCAATTCTACCCATAAAAATGCGCGAAACCGTCAGACATAATTATTTTTCACCGTGAGTTTTTTTGAAGAATTTTCTAATGATAAAATTCATGTGCGGGGGGAATTCTGAGTGAATTGCCCGCTTTTTATCGAGCATTTCCTCACTTTTTCACGATTTTATGCACAAGTCTGGCGCTGAGTCGTTGGTTTTTATGGGATTCCACGGTTTGTGTCATCCCCGCGGATTTCTCGTTGTGCTCCCGCTCGTGTGAACGTGTACAGACGACTAGAGGAGGCTTGAGCCATCGATGACACGATTCCTCAGCGTCTTGGCCACCGCAGTCGCCGGTTGGATCAAGTGGGAGTCAACACGATGCTCAAACACTTCGATCGATTTAGTTTGCATTGATTGATCGCTGGTGATGAGGTTCAACTGAAAATTAGTAGGGAGATTTTATTGGTCTTCCGGGCCGTTGTGCAATGGGATTTTTTATGGGGAGGCTTGTGTAAATTGTTGACAGAAGTCCAGACTCTGATTAGCAACAAATGTCGGGGTTTATGAGGTTTGGGGGGGGGGGTGTTTTGACGTTCTGCTTCTTCATTTTATTTTTATCTAGTTATTCATTCTCTCTTTTCAACTTCCAATGCAGTCTTTTTTTGTGAATAAATAATTAATATTTTTTAAACATTTTTTATTGCTAGAGGGAAAACTTTACGATGATTTTTTCATTATTTATTGTTTAGAATTATGACATTCTTCATCTTCATTATTTTTATCGATCTATTCATTGACTTTTTCAAGGTTTTCTGTCTATTTTCTTTTTGTAAATAAATAATAATAATTTTGTAAACGTTAGAATTTTAATTGTTACGCAGGAAAAATTTTCCGATGATTTTTTCATTATTTATTGTTTTGAATTGTGACTTTTGCCATCTTCATTTTGTTTTTATCCATCTATTCATCTATTTTTGCAACTTCTTTTGTCTAGTTTTTTAAATAAATAAATAATTAAAAATTTTTGAACATTAGAATTTGAATTGTTAGGCAGGAAAAATTGTCTGATAATTTTTTCATTATTTATTGTTTATAATCATGACATCCTCCATCTTCATTTTGTTTCTATCGATTTATTTATTAATTTTCTATAATTTTTAAATTCATTCTCTTCTTATAAATAAATAATGAATTTTTTTGCCAACGGAAATTTGAATATGAATCAATTTGTAATAATTTCTGAGTAATTTTTTTCAGGGAGAAAATAATTGTTCATGAACTATTCGTGAAAGAGAGCAATCTTGTTTGACAAATAGGAGTTTTTTCACAGATTTTTTACTGTTTTCTAAACGTTCAGAATCATTGCAATATTTGAGTGATGGGAAATGAGAAGAAAAGGATTTCAACGAAAAATGATGACTGAGAAGTGATTAATGATCTGAAGTTTTTGATGGGGTGAGAATTTTTTCCATAACAAATATACTCTCTCCCCTTTGTCATTGAGATTGATCGCGATTCATGGATTTCTCCATGATTTACGGATATTAAAAGACGTCAAAAGTTTTTCTGGGGAAAAACAAATTGAAACGGAGATAAAATTGATAATTTTTAATTGCCAATAATTCAACATCGCAGAGCGAAATTCCACAATTTTCTTTTTATTTCAAAAATATTTTTCCAGACTTCAGAATGACATTTCATCAATTAAAATCGCATTAATAAACTAAAAACACTATTTCCATTATTCCGTTATTATTATTTCCATTATTCCATTATTATTTCAATTTTTCCATTATAAGTTTTCTTTTCGATAAATAAATCAAGTCGTTTGATCACGGATATTCAGACGTCAATAGGTTTTCTGAAGAAAAACAAATTGATTCACTCAAAGAAAAAGGCGAGAAAATTGATTATTTCCCGCATCACTCTTCCGACCAATAGAATTGCTGTACTCGACGTCTCGTGGGCCAATCAGAAGAGAATTATACCGATAATTTCCCGTCGGCTGATAATTTTCCCGTTGGCAAACAGAATAAACAATTGTTGATTGTACCACAATGACACTGAATACCTCAATTCTATTTATCAAAATGGTGATGTAGGAAATAATCCGACAAATTCCTTTCGAGCTCCAAATTTAATCAGATATTTCCCTCAAGCTTCCTTGCAAAAAAACGATCTTTCCACATTTTGTAGAAAATTTTTTTAACTCGCAAAACTTGACACCCTCATTTGTTTGCAACGAAGCTCTCGGAAAATACCCGATAATTTTGAAGCTCCTGGAGTATTCCTACGGATTATTTTTCCCATCACCCTTTCGACCAATAGAATTGCGCTATTCGACGTCCCGTGGGCCAATCAGATCATTTTGAAGCTCTCGGGGACTATAACCGATAATTTTCAATCCTCAATAACTCAGCATCGCCAGAGTGAAATTCCGAAATTTTCATTTCATTCCAAAAATATTTTTCTAGACTTCAGAATGAAATTTTCTAGATTAAAATCGCATCATGTAATCGGGAGATATGAACGATCTAAAAACGTGACGTTTTCCCTTACGAATTCTCCTATCGATAAATAAATCAAGCCTGGACTATTTCCTCTTCATAAGGGGCAGAAAAAATACATAAATCCTTGGAAATTCCGGTGGGAGAATTAACGGTCATCGCCAGACGCGGAACATGTCATAGTGAAATGCACGACATATTCCGCGAAAGGGAATTGCATTCTCAAATAGCGGGACATCAGTCCTGCGGGAGTGGGGATAGGCGCGAGTGTGGTGGGGCGGTGGGGCTCGAGTGCTCAGTGCCACCGAGCGAGTGAGACAAAATGGCGATAGGCCGTGCGTTGGAGGGAAACAGACGCCGACAGTCCAAGTTTATGATAAAATTGTTCGGAAATTGTTGGGAGAAACGTGTGATAATGTGTTTTGTTGTGATGCAGTGGATTGCGTCATGTGGACACTCGATTTTTGTCGAGATTCGATCGTTCTGAAGGGCCGAGGGGTCGAGACAAAGGACCCAGTGACAAGACGACGCGATAAAACGTTCGATATTTAATATTTAATTATTACGAAGGGGCAGAGTGAGTATATTTTTTTCCTCCAGTGAATGAAGCATGAAGCGATGGGTTTTGGCTGCATTTCGCGTCGAGATTCGAGTGTCGATAATCGATTGAGTGATGTTGAGGCACCGCCGGGTGCGAGGGACAATAACAGACGCGGTGGACAGTGTTTATGATGAAATTGTTCGGAAATTGTTGAGGGAAACGTGTGATAATGTGTTTTGTTGTGATGCAATGGATTGAGTCATGTGGACACTCGATTTTTATCGAGATTCGATCGTTCTGAAGGGCCGAGGGGTCGAGACAAAGGACCCAGTGACAAGACGACGCGATAAAACGTTCGATATTTAATATTTAATTATTACGAAGGGGCAGAGTGAGTATATTTTTTTCCTCCAGTGAATGAAGCATGAAGCGATGGGTTTTGGCTGCATTTCGCGTCGAGATTCGAGTGTCGATAATCGATTGAGTGATGTTGAGGCACCGCCGGGTGCGAGGGACAATAACAGACGCGGTGGACAGTGTTTATGATGAAATTGTTCGGAAATTGTTGAGGGAAACGTGTGATAATGTGTTTTGTTGTGATGCAGTGGATTGCGTCATGTGGACACTCGATTTTTGTCGAGATTCGATCGTTCTGAAGGGCCGAGGGGTCGAGACAAAGGACCCAGTGACAAGACGACGCGATAAAACGTTCGATATTTAATATTTAATTATTACGAAGGGGCAGAGTGAGTATATTTTTTTCCTCCAGTGAATGAAGCATGAACCGATGGGTTTTGGCTGCATTTCGCGTCGAGATTCGAGTGTCGATAATCGATTGAGTGATGTTGAGGCACCGCCGGGTGCGAGGGACAATAACAGACGCGGTGGACAGTGTTTATGATGAAATTGTTCGGAAATTGTTGAGGGAAACGTGTGATAATGTGTTTTGTTGTGATGCAGTGGATTGCGTCATGTGGACACTCGATTTTTGTCGAGATTCGATCGTTCTGAAGGGCCGAGGGGTCGAGACAAAGGACCCAGTGACAAGACGACGCGATAAAACGTTCGATATTTAATATTTAATTATTACGAAGGGGCAGAGTGAGTATATTTTTTTCCTCCAGTGAATGAAGCATGAAGTGATGGGCTTTGGCTGCATTTCGCGTCGAGATTCGAGTGTCGATAATCGATTGAGTGATGTTGAGGCACCGCCGGGTGCGAGGGACAATAACAGACGCGGTGGACAGTGTTTATGATGAAATTGTTCGGAAATTGTTGAGGGAAACGTGTGATAATGTGTTTTGTTGTGATGCAGTGGATTGCGTCATGTGGACACTCGATTTTTGTCGAGATTCGATCGTTCTGAAGGGCCGAGGGGTCGAGACAAAGGACCCAGTGACAAGACGACGCGATAAAACGTTCGATATTTAATATTTAATTATTACGAAGGGGCAGAGTGAGTATATTTTTTTCCTCCAGTGAATGAAGCATGAACCGATGGGTTTTGGCTGCATTTCGCGTCGAGATTCGAGTGTCGATAATCGATTGAGTGATGTTGAGGCACCGCCGGGTGCGAGGGACAATAACAGACGCGGTGAACAGTGTTTATGATAAAATTGTTCGGAAATTGTGGAGTGAAATATGTGATGTGGTGTGTTGTGAGGAAGTGGATCGTGTCGGGTCAACGCAGGTTTCTTTTTTTATCGAGATTCGAGTGTTTTTAAGGGCAAAAGGTTCAGTGATAAGACGTGATGAAACATTCGGTGATGAATAGTCAGAGATTTCCGAGGAATTTAGGTTTTTTTCGTTGATGTTAATTCTAATATTTTTAGAGGTTCTGCTGGCGTTTGGTGAGCCCCAGCTGACCCTAGGTCCCCAAATATCTTACGATTATTTTATTATTCGAGATCTGAAGATCGAAATCTGATTCCCATTTTCAACATTTTTTTCA